TGAAATACAGTTCTTCATGTTGGACACTAATTGCCCCCCCCCCCCCCCCCAAATGCCTTTCTTTTTTAAATCTTTGCTAAAACGAAAAAAATATTCTTCACATTTTTTTTTTTTTTTTAGTTTTTTGTTTTCAGAACATGCTTAGAAAAATAATTTTACACACAGAGCAATATTGACCGTTCAAGAAAACAAAAGAGCTGGACAGTCCCAACTATTTTCATCTATACATACTCACCCACATAAGCATCTAAACTAAAATTTTCTTCTTCATTTCTCTATTTTAAAAATTTCTTTATATAGTTGCAATTAAAAGGACTCATTTCACCAGGTAAGAGAGAAAGACTTCATGCAGCCATCAAGCCTAATTAAATAAATAATACTAGAAAAAACTCAAAATTTGAAATTTTTGGACTTTAGGTATGCAGCAGAATAGAAATAAAATCAATCTATTCTAATCGGAGTTTGCGATTAAATTAAGCTTTTAATTTCCTAACTAAAATTATGAACTAGTTATCAAAATATGTATCAGTAACTAAATAATTTTACATGTTTATTATAAAATACAGTCCAATTACTAAGAACAGTGAAAAAATTTAATCTATCTTACTTATTACTATGAAGCAAAACAAAGAATATAAGAAATATTCAACTAAACCATTTGTGAAGAAGTAGAATAAGGTTTCAGAAAGAAATATCAAACGCTCGAAGGAAATGAGAATGTCCATTTTGTAAAACGAATTTAAAATTAATTATCATTTATAATAAACATTACGCTTTTGGTGTTTAAAACAAAACTGAAAAGCTACAAATTACTAGATCGAAAAATACATGTGATTGATATAGCTATTTATTAAAATGCCCAATGACACAGTGTAATAAATTCGTAATTACTTTTTTTTTTTTTTTGAAGGCAGGTACACTCCTACACAGAAGAGAGAAACACAACTCACTAGCAGTTAAAGTGAGCAACAAACTGTTACAATTGTGTCAGAATACTTTCTGCAAGATAAATGAAAGTTATAGTCCTTCTTCATTTGCATTCCCCCCCCCCCAAGAGCGGCAATTTTTGTCTACTGCGTCTATTTAAAACATGAATTTTTTTTTTCTTTGAAAGCATGTATCTGTGTACTTCTCTGATTTTTGGGGAAAAGTTCTGATTTTTCACAGATCTTTAAGGATACAGTTTATACTTTTTCTGACCGTTTTTCCTTTTCCTATCTTTCAAAGAGAATGGAAACCTCGATTTAAGTTACAATAAATTTTGCACCAATGAAATTAGTTTTTATATACAACAAAGAAACTAAATAAGGCAAATTCAGTGTGCACATATCATGCTCATTTTTTGTTGTCCAACATGAACACCAACAAATTGCATCTGACATTCAAAGGCTCTAAGAACTGTAATATTTTAGCCATTTCCATTCTTGAAGGGCTATATCTGATAAGCAATTAAACTCAACTATTTATTTTCAGCCAAATTGCATGTTACAACTGGAATTTTCTTTAGTACTTTCTTGCTGAAAATACTTTTCATTATCTTAAACAAATTAATAGAATTACTTACATTAATAATAAACACAATGATTTTATTCCAACATAGAATTAAGGCAGGGTTTCCAAGGAACAATTACTTTAAAAATTGCAAAACTATAGTATTTACAACTAATAAGTAAATGTGAAAAATTTAGATATTTTACATTTCAAAAGCAGTATGTATGCTAAGATTAAGTGAAAGAGATAAAAAGAGAGAGAGTTTGATTAACTAATCTATGCTAGTTTAACCAAAATCCATCAGAAAAAATTAAACTGATAGGTGGAGAAACATTACTTGACCGTTTACATAAAATATTCGTTAACAATGGAATACCTTCCCTAATAAATTATGAATAACATATATACAAAATGATTTACACTCAGAAACTTCTTTCCACAATATTCTAAACATTTACTTTTGTTACTACATAATATTTAGATATTTTATTTAATTGCTTCAGTGAATGTATAACATATAAAGCAATATTTCATGCACCAAAACAGAAATGAAATTTTGTAACTTTACATGCAAAGTTTTCATATATGCAGTTCCTGAAAGGAGGAAGAATTACTACATAATTTATATAAAACATATTTTATACCTATAACTGTTTCCAAAATGAGTTCAACTAATGCTTTTCTAAATTATTTTTTAGAAATTTAGTTGTTCTAATTATTATTTCATAATGAAATTTCTATTATTTATTAATTTTTAAAATTTGCATTTTTACTTAAAAAAAACAAACTAACCAGCTAACACAAACATAGGTTGAATTTTCAGTGAAGATCATATGAAAAATTTCAGAAAGCTAGGATTATGAAATCTTCTAAAAATTTTTTTTATTAAAAAATCTGTATTTTTATAAATTAGTCATTTTATTTTCATTTAGTTAGTTTTACATCAATAAATATTTGTTTCATTTGCATTAAATACATTAAAAACCCCTACATTCCATAAGACAATCACATAATTTAAAAATAAAATCATCAATAAATATATTCATTGTATTTTTTCATTTGCAAAGTTTACGGATAAATATTTAAAAATAATGTTGTAAAGAAAACAGCTTTGGTATTATAGTTTCTGAAGTCTGAAATTAATTACAAAAATGAAAATCCTTTTCTTAGAGATCTGGGTACTGCACTGTTATATTTCTTTTTTTGAATAAAATTCTTCATTATAGTAATTCTCTAGAAATATCCATCACAATCTTCTGTACATACTTCATCTGTCTTTCTTATACAACACTAGTAAAACAATAATTTTTTTCACTGCTTATAAGAATATTCATTTAAGAGCTATAATATAATTTGTACTAGTAGAGAAAAAGCTGTGTAATAAACATGCATATGCAAATTTATAGCACATAATTCAAAACCATATTAACTACAAAATTAAATTTAAATACACTTTTTTTAAATTAAAAAATAACCCTTCAGCAGGCACAGACATTTTTTATTAGAAATGCATTTAGATTACATTTGTTATTGCAGTAGTATTCATTAATTTATTAGTTTAACGAATTTAACACATTATTATAAAAATATTAATAGTATTATTATTATAGAAAATGTTATAAAATGTAAATATTTTATGATATAATGTTTTATATCACTTGAATTATCCTGTCCAATAAGTATAGTGTCTCACAGAGACTCATTACTGTAGTCATTTTTAATATTTATTTCTTTTTTATTTGACTTCTTGATTCTTGTAAAATGAACGGAGTTCAAAAATTTTATTATTAGTTCAAATTTTTTACTTGGTTAAAAATTAATTATATTGAAAAGCCCAAATAAAACACTGCATTTTTAAAACTATTATTTACATATATGAACCTAAATATGTGGCTGAAAATATGAAATTGTTATATTTGTTATGCTTACTTATCCTCATGATCTTGAGATATGTAATAAATAAATAATAAAAAAAACTTTATTGTGCAACTTACAGTGCAACTACAACATGATAAAAGTAAGTATTATCTGAATAAATTAGAGGTAAAAATGAAAGAAGGTTTGAAAAAAAGGCTGCAATGGAAATTGAAATTATTCCATGAATCCAAAGTATAACTTTTAATTATCATGGAGAATTAAAATAAAGGAAAAATACACTTCTATGATCAGAACCGTTCGATTTAAAAATGTGCCAGCTTTTTATAGCTCTTTAAAAATCTATTCAGTGAACAAATTCAAGTTTAGAATTTGGGAAAATGCCTTCAGTGGCAAATAAACTAACTAAAAGTTTGATAAGGGATAAATTATTCTATGTGAATTAATATTACCATTTAAATTAAGGAATTTTACAAAGTTAGTAAGTTTAACTTGCTGCTTGAGGGTTAAAAAATTTCAAAATTTCTCCCTAAAGTACCAAAATAATTAAAGCATCATACAATAAAAATTTGGACAAATTATAAAATTTAAAACAATATAAGATGTATATACATATATATTTAACAGATAAGCATCCGATTCTATTTTAAAACTCTATATCAAGAATAAAATAGCCATAGCACCATTTTTTAGGACAAATAGAAAACAGGAAGTTCCAAATTCAGTATTCAGATTGTCAATCCATTTTTTACTGATGAAATTAATATTGATTTCCAATAAAATATAAATATCTTAGAGTATAAAATCCATTTTTATTATATGTACATATGTTTCAACATTACTTTGGGTACTTGATATGCACTATCTCCTTGGGGGGGACCCATCTCCCCCCAAAGAGAACTAACTGCAAATACAAAAGAACTATTCCTAATAAAAAAAAAGCCCACCCAGCGGCCGAGCGGTAAAGACGCTGAACACTGGTAGTTCGGTCTGAGGTTCGAATCCCGCGAACGGGCTGGCTGCATGGGCGTTTTCGTGGTTTTCCCCATGTGTAACATGTATACGAGCCAGTTTCCCTTAGAAAGTCCTCCACGAAAGGCATCCCTCCCTTTAGGCAGATAGCCCTCGTGTGCTTTGCCATAATTAAATACACCACCTAATAAAAAAAAGCCTTGCATATATCTTTGCTTTTTATATTGAAGAAAGGAATGATGAATTATAATTCTATGAACTATAAACATAAATATTTACTTTTTTAGTTGTTTTATGCTGGTAATTATTCAATGAATATTTTATTGCATTATTAATGAAATACAGCAGCTGCATACATAATATGCACAACTGGATTAAAAATCTTAATTAATATAACTTAAACCTAAAATCAATATATACATCGTGTATCTCATTATATATCACCTGAATTCTGTACAAGAAATAAAAATTACAAAATGGAATGAAATGGAGTTCAGAACAATATCATTACAAAGACGAAATTCCTTTGTAAATGACATTTGTTCAAAGGAGTATATTATGAGCATATATTTGTAAAATTACTCATTCATTCAAAATCACACATAAACATATAATTTTTTAACATTAGATTCTTTTGCTGCATAATAACATTTATAAAAATATAAAAATAACTGCATTATATTGTTTATTGAAAGAAAAAAAATAACAACTAAGTGTGCATTTATTACATCCATTGATCACAAAATATGATTTCATTCCTTCCGTGGACAATTAAATACAATGACCTCAACGCAATGCAACACCTACATAAATAAATATAAATTTACATATTTAAGATACTCAACTGGCTGATGCAACTGATAAGGGAGAAAAATATTTTCCACGCTCATTTAGTCTTCAGTTTAAGAATGCAGAAATCTACTTTGGATTAGTGATTCTGCACATGCTTCAGTTAACAGTACAATGATACAAAAATAAAGGCAATGAAGAGTTAAAATGATGAAAAGAGTAACAGAACTAGACGCCATTCTTTTGGAAATTTGTTGAACTCTCTTCCACGTTTTTGATGGTAGATGAAAAAGATACAGCTGGACATCTACATGCAAATGAAACATAAAAAATCAGATAATAAGACAAAAATATACAAAAAACAAACAAAAAAAAAGTATTATATACCATTATAACATGCAGATTAACACGCATGCATGCCAACACTGAACGGAAAAGCAAAAAGCTACAAAGGAATTTATAAAGCCATGCACAAATTCAATGAATGATTACATATATCATGCAACACCAGTAGTGCCTATGGCAGAGCAGGTTAAGGATAATACTTGAACATACCTTGCAACATAGCACAAATAATTCGAAAAATAAATGCAAAGAAGCGTACACAAAGGAAAAATAATTTACTAATTTTTTAAAGAATTTCTTTCTTTATTTTTTTTAAAGAGAAAAGAATAATCCAAAATTTCTCAAAAAAGTGTTTGTAATAATAATTGAAATTACTTTCCTACACTCCTTGAAAGTTTAAATTATAATACTAATTCTGAAATTCATTTTCTATTTATGAAACTGAACTAAACAAGAAAATATACAGAAACAAAATACACACAAAAACAAAAATAAAAAATATAAACACAAGAGACAACGAAGCAGAGAATTTTTTGCTGTGTAGTTTAAGAAACCTACTTAATTTTTTTCATATTTTCAAAGGAATAGTAAGTAAAACAATGTATAGTTATGCATATGTTTATAATATAAAATGTCTGAATAATTTTGCATAGCTATATTACTTTTTTGCCTAATACCTCACTATAGAATTCTCAGTTAAATGTTCCAAGAACACTGCACCATAAATGAACGAAGAAAATATGAACATTTTAATTCCAATAATAGTAATAGTGGTATTATTGATAATTCCTTTCACCACATGCTGAGATTTCATATAATTATCTATATATAATAATGCTAAATTGTATTTCTACAGATAAAGATAAAATGAATTATTAAATAAGCTAGTTTCAGTATGAGGTTAATAAGTCAATAATTTTAATAGATAAAATCGAACATCAAAAGTTTAGATGTAGCAAAGCTTTTGATATTATTGCATATATATATTACAGCTGAACTAATAATATATAAATACAAAAACATCACACAACTTTTGAATGAATATGTAGAGTAATTATATAGACGTAAGGCTAATCTTTTTTTAACCTAGCCATATTTTGAAATCTTGAAATCTATTACTACTTTCTTAATTATGTCATTTTCTTCATTCTGTCATTAATTATAAAATTAGGCACAACTCATTTTAAAACTATAATGACAAATTAAAATTGCTTCAACTGCCTTCAATGACAACCTGTTTATTTCATCTGACCATTGAGCTGATATCAGGGAAAATATTCGTTTCACATCTGCATTTAGGCTGGAATGACCAATATGTATTTGCATAGCTTTATTAAACATGACTTCTCATCAATATATTTTGTATCTGCAAAAAAATTCAGCCAGTTTTTTTTCCATACTCATTTTCATAGTTGCTTTGAAGTTTTGGTTGGTATTATTTTTCTGTAACTCACCTTTTACATATACAAACAAGTTGAACAGAATCTCAGTGTTGCTAATATCATTGTTTCTTACCTACAATTAATTAAAACAATATCATTGTTTCTTACTACATGTATGTTGCATTTCTTCTCAGTGAGGAAAGTGGTTGAGAATCATCTAGTCATCATCAGTTTATGGAGAAAACAGGACAAAAATCAGATAAATAGTAACACAAGATGAGTACTGAAATATGGCAATAATCCCGTATATACAGAATGTATGGCAATGCTACATATATGCAACATGGCTAATACAGCAAAAAGAATAATACTAATAGTGTCTTCACTCTGGATCTTCTATGAGAAAAATTGTAAAATATATTTTTATTACAGCCATTAAAGAAATTGAGAATCTCATAAAACACAACACAAAGAAATTTATCTGAGAAAATGCAAAGTATTTTTAGTAAAGAATTGAATCACTTTTACATTTAATCAGCATCAAAAGTTTCCAAACAATAATTTTAAAATGCATATGAAAAATCATAACATTTATTCTGTAATCAGATGTTAAATATTTATATTTGCAGCTTTTATGCAGAAAATCTTTATGTAGCAATTTTGTTGTCTCAAAATAAATAACAGAAAACTAAGTGGAAATTTATTATTACATATAAATAAAGCAAACAATACTCAACACATCCAAAATGCATGGTTTAATCTGTAAAAGTCAAACAAATTGTTAATTACATTCCCATGAACTGCACTACATTACACAGATTAGAGTAATATTTATTGCTAACTCTAATGATAATTAAATGTATAAAATGTTTTATATGATGAACTCCTCATCACTTTTTGTTTCATTAAAGTAAAAATGATGTGGCTTTTAGTGCTTAACTATTATTATTAATTAATTTATGAAAAGAATAATTTAATTCTCCTAAAAGTTACATTATTCCTTTCTTGCACTAGGCACATGATTAATAAATGTTATTATTTTATATCCAGCTAACATTACAAGTTCCACCTCCAGGGCTAATATGCCATATCATTTTCCCAGAGATTGCCAAGTTTTAATAAAATTGTGCATAAGATTTCATAGGCATCTACTGCAGTTGATGAAATATTTCATCGCTCTCTTTAAAAAGAATGCCTAGTTTACAAACTATGCAATACTCATTCCTATCTTGGTCTAATCCTGAAGTATATTCATTGATGTAGAAAACATTTGACAAAGAAGATGGATTTTCAGGCAAAAGATAATACGGAAGACGGCTGCATTAAGGATATTCAGGATTCCCTCTGAAAATGATATGGCATTCCTTAGTTGAGGTGGTGGTAATGAAAGCTGGCACTGGTAGGCTTGTTTTTCAAGCCTGATGAAGAACGGATGTCTGTGAAATTAGTGTCTCTACAAAATGGAGACACTAACATCTGTTTGATCCAACAATTATTATGAAAAAACTATTATGTACAAAAATTATTATGTTATTATATTAAGAAAACAGCAAGAGGCTTACGAAACATTTTAATTCCACCCCTTGCACTACTCTCCGTTAAAATAGGGAAATCTTTAGGCAAAGATACATTAGCTCTTAGACCGTCTAAGCCCCTTTGACTAAATAAATAATTCTAAACAATTCTGATATGGATACATATATCACAGCAAAGACCATTTGAAGTATGTGCTGACAACTCATATCTGCAGATACAGAGAATATCAAACTCTGGTACTCCCACCAGATTCCCAAACAGACTGTCTCAATCCTTGTGCATTTCTTGAGGAAATAAAACAACCATCTTCCATATTATCATGCCTAATTCCATCTTCTCTATCAAATTATTTTCCACACTTAAAAGAAATGCACAAGACTGATGAGATATGTCTGAAAATTTCGCATACATGGGAATATATTCACGAGACTCTGGATGGCAATCAAAGACAGCACATTCTCAAAATGGTTATTTTGCTGTGATTTACTCAAAAATGCTTTGAATATTACTAGTATAATTATATGAAAAAAATGGCAATCAGTTGGTCAAAGGATACAGAAAAAGTGACCAAAGGGAAAAAAGAAATACCCAGTAGCACAATTAAAAAACTCTGGGTGTTTCACAAGATACAAATTGAACAAAAAAAAGGGGGGGTCAAGTTTTTTAATATTTTTTAACTCTTAAAAATCCTTACTAATAGTTCATTTAAATAAAAGCAACTAATAATAAGTTATCCATACATTTTTATAAAAAAAATTGGATATAACTATTATTTTAATAAAATCAAAATAAAAGGTAAAAAGTAAAAAATCAGAGGAAGAAAATTTACTTCGTCAATTTAAAGAGAATTTAACAAAATGCTCCTCGAAAAGGCACAAATAAAAAGAATTATTGTAAAAAAAAAAAAAAAAAAAAAAATAAAACAAAAAAAAAAATAAAGCAAGAAATTAAGCTCATTTTGATGTAAAAAAACGCATAAAAATTAACACAAATACCAAATCAAACTTCTGAACAAGTTGCTACAATTTTATGTCTGTCTAAGGTGTGACTGAAAGTACTACTATTTATATATTCGCAGACAAGCACTTCAACTTCTGAACACTATATTATTTCCATTGCAAAATAATAGTCTCTTCTTTAATGAATCTGGACTAGGTGCTAGCAGAACTTTAGTCAATATTAATTTTTTTTACATTCATTTGTTTTTGCATCTTTTCATCTATGTATGAAAATATAACAAAAATTAAAATCAAGCTTGGACACAAAAAGCCACATCTACCATGTACTTCAGATGTTAAAAATAAATTATAATATAAAGTTAAGAAGATATAAGATTTAGAGAATAATTTAGAATTAATTAGATTTATCATATAAATCTAAATTATGGATATAATCACATAAATGAGAAAACATTATAACAGGTGAAAAAACTGGGATTTTAACACAAACATGCAAAATATTATTTATGCATTGCTTAAAATGACAAAAAAGCTAAGACAACACATTTCATTAAACACATGTGTTAGAAATATACAGTAACAAATATATTAGTCACAAAAATACTGAATGTGTTAGACACAAAGTGTACTACAACAAAGGAAGAAATTTTCATTTAAAGATAAAACATGCCAATTTAGCACTACACTGGCTATTAAGGTAATGACATAGAAAAGGAATATACAAACAAACAAATATAAGCGAACAAGTGTAACATTCTACTTTACTGAAATGAATATTGAGTTTTGCACAAAAATTAGCACTTGCTTTTGTTAACAGGAATAAAAATGATATATAAAAAGTCCATTGAATAGTTAGTCACAAACATAAAATAAACATTTAAAAAGTATAAAATGTTTCACAGTCAACATCAAAAATTATAACTTCAAGGTTATTATGAAAAAGAAATATTAATTATAAAACAACACAAAAATGTAAGTTTTGGCATAGAAAACACAACAAATTTAAAATAATAAATTAATGAACTCAAACATGTAATCATTAACAAATATATATACTGTATCAGGATAAGATATTCAGCTAAAATTTTAATTGTTCTGACATATATAAATAAAAAAGACAAGTACAAACTGATAACATATGAACACATGCACATCTTTTATGTATGAAGTAAGTAACTTTCCCAGAAATCTATTGGTTAAGAAAAATTCTATGCGTGCTACTGTTTTACACAAAGTGCTTTTTGTGTAGTCCATAGGAAAAGTGGTTTTGTGCACAATCAAACAAAAATAAGGATAAAATTTGATGTTAATGGAAGTTTTTAAAAAGCCAAGTGAAATGGTGCATTATGCACAAGAGGACATCACTTTGAATATCAAGAATTTTTAGCACGTATAAGTAAATTTATACGATAATTAAATTTCAAATGCCTAAAAATTCTTAAAAGGTATTTGTTGAAATGTACTGGGATATGAAATTAATTTTGTGTGTAACTATTTGTTCAGTTATTTATAATGAATAAGTTTACAAAAAAATCTTTAATTTATTATATTATAGAAATTAAGATATTTTAGAAGAATAATGCGTTAAGAAATTTTTAACCAAAAAAACTGCTTATTTATTATTAAATATTCAAATGAACTACTGTAAGGAAATTTATCAGCTGAAAATGAAATCAAACAGTACTGGGGATGGAGAAGGGAGACTACAAACAGTTGAACAATAAAATATAATGTAAGGAAACATAAATGTTCTGTTTATTGCACCACGCTTTTCCCTGACTAAAGAGTTCTTTAAGCTAACAAGCCAAATAATAATGGTATTTAAATCAATAATAATTTTTAACTCTAATCAGTTTTCAGTATTTAATTTGCGATTGCTATGAGTTAAGGGACAATATTTTCTGGAAGAAGAACAAATGAGAATAAGATACAAACATAAAAGGCTTTTTTTTCCTTTTAAAATTTAACCAAAACTAAAAATTTGTTACAAACACTGTTGCAGTCCAATCTCTTGCCTTTTACATAACTATTTATTTCCTCAATTTAAAAAGTTTATTTTATTACAAAACCCCATTTTAATTAGTAAACATTTAAATGGTTGTTTCTAATTATAAAACACTCACAGTTTACATGCTTTCTACCTAGTAGCATATTTATACCAATTTGTATATATATGTATTATATAACCCAGTGTATATATTTGTATATATATGTATGTATTATAACCCGTGTATATATAGTATTATATAACCCAGTGCAAAACAGAAGTTCACTTTACACTTGAAATTTCATAGAATATAAAACAAGTATAATTTTTGTGAAATTTAGTTAATCGTGATAGGTGATATTAAAGCAATGTTATTTTCGATGACATTTTTAAACTCATAAAACAAGGGATTAAGGATTAATATTATTGAATATATTTTTTATTTTACACACTGATTTTAAAAAGAACAAATGTAAAATCCGAAGTTAATAAAAAAGTTTTTAATGTACTTTTAAACGATTAAAAGTTCTAAAATGTTACCCACTGAATCAGTTCCACTTCAATGTGAGAAATCTTACACTAATGTCAATAATTTAAATTATGTGTATTTTCAAGAAATATTCTACCCACATAGTAAAAAATAGGACCAGTCTACAAAGAATTAAAACATTATTTTTTTGCAATTTACCTTTTATATGTTGGTGTATTATATTGAATATATAGATTTTTTGATTTCAAGAATATAAAACAAAGTATAATAAGTTATCGTGATTGATGGGGAATTGAATTAACAAATATAAAAAACAGAAGGGATATATTAAAATGAGGTTTGTATGTAATAAAATGTCCTTTAAAATGTGTTGAAATCTTTTAAATGTTTTTAAATGTAAAAAGTTAAACAGAATATTCTTTTCCACAGAAAATAATATAGACCACGTTAAAGGAGCACATATTTTTCTATTAAAATGTTACTAAAAATTATGTGTTTCATTTCACCTTGTTTGTTTAATTGAAATAAGATTTTTTGAAAAGTCTTGACAAAAATGAATATATTTTTTTAATCCGGTATTATGTTTGTGAGAAATAATATATTCATTTAAATCATTATATAGATCATTAAATAAAAAAGGGCTGTAATGGCTTTTAGAATATATGAATATTTACAAAAGTGAGAACTATCTTTATCCTTATTTTGTCAGCATAAAACACAAGAACAAATAATGAAATATCACATTCATTTTCAAAGTTTAAGTTGAAAGATTAAAAAAAACTGCTATATACAAAAAATAATAAATTTAATTTCACATAATAGAAAATTTAAATTAACCTTGAAGTTTGACTAGTAAACATTTAAAAAGCTAACTACGACGGACAATTTTTAGGGAAACAAACAGAAATAAAGCAGCTAGCAGGAAGCATTTAACCCCTTAAATAAGGGAGGAGAGAATTTGGTTTTTGGCACATTTAACTTAAAAATATGCTAGAAACAATTCTGCTAAATACAAATCATGCTTAAGAAATACCGAAATTTTTGCACCTGTAATAGAAAAAAAAAAAAAAAAAAAAAAAAAAAAAAAAAAAAAAAAGAAAATGCAATAGAAGAGAATTTATAGAATAAGTTAGGAGGAAAATAATAAGCTAGTCTGGCAACTGAGAATTAATTGACATATTCTACAAAATTAAAAAAAAGTGTCACTGCTTATAAAATATATTGTTGAAATTCTGAATCATGAGAATTCCACATTTATCAATTCCAAATAGCTATATGTTTCAAATTTTAAAAATTTACTTCATGTGTTGTGTTTTTTAAGCTAACTTAAAAAAACAACAATTGTAACCTAATTTTATTATTTAACTGTAGTCACTGGAAAAAGTACTTCTTATAAGCTGAATCAAATGTATTATCCGGAAGATTAAACTTTGAGAAATTATAAAACAATCAAACAAGGGAAAAATATAGCGAAAAGAAGTTGATTACCTGGATGTTACATGTAGAAGCATCATATCGGAAAATATATAATATTGTTTAGGAATTATATGAAAATGTTGCATAATAATTTCGAAATTATTGCTTAAGAAATCACTAAACATTACACAAAACCTGTGTTTTTAAACAGCTAATAAAGAGATTATTAGATAAAAGCAAGTTCCCTCAATTAGGAAACGTTCATCTACAAATAGATTTAAAATCTAATCTCGGAATGTAAGACAGGATAAGACGGAAAAAAAAAAAAAAAAAAAATGTTTTCTAAGTCAGTTTCCTGCAGTTCAGTTAAAAATAATCATTCAAAGAGAAGTAACATTTTACATTAAAAAAAAACACATCAAATGAAATGAAATCAATCACTATCACAATAAATTAACAAATATGCTTAGCTACTAATATATGCACAGATTACAAAATTAAAATTATCAGCTTTCATCATCAGAGTCTTCAGCTGCATACGCATGATTTATGCCACGTATGTGTACATACTGGACAGTCTTCTTTTCAGCACTTGTAGTGGCATCTTTCCACCACGGATGAGCAAATAATCCCTCAACTTCTTCTAACGAGACTCCTTTAGTTTCAGGAAGCATCAAGAACAGAAATATAAACCCGATAACTGCTAGACCATCATAGAAATAGAATGCTCCTTTTAAAAGAGGAAAAAAAGACACATTAAATATCATTTTAAAAGAGAAATCTGTGTTAATATTAAGAAAATAGAAAGTAAAATGTTATTAAATTAATATGTGTTAATTTAATAACATTTTAATTTCTATTTTCACTGAAGAGAAAAGAGGGAGGAGAAAATATTTAATTAGATTTTAAAAATAAATAACAGAATACCAACAACAAGCAATCATACATATTTTATTTTTTCCAACAGAAATTTTAAATTGTAATAGTTTGCGATCAAAAATGGAAATCTGACCTACTTATAAAAGATATTACACAAATAAAATACCTTATTTTCTTGTAACAAATACTACACAAATAAAACACCCGAGAAATCTTATGCATTATAAATATACTTTTGAATATTTAAAACTGCTTGTTACAAAAAGATACATGATTATATTTCAATGAGATTTATTTTTCAGGGTCCATATAATAATTCTGTTGAAGTTTATTTATTTATCTATTGTTGTTGTTATATATAAAAACGTTCCAAAACTTTCTAAATAATAAGAAAGTTAAAACTAATGAGGTTACATCAAATGCTATTTATAACTGTTTAATACTAACTGCTTTGCTAGACTCTGTAATCCAATTATCATAATGAACAAAATCAAGATATTGTAACAATTTCCTCTCCCCATCTCAATAATCCAACAAAAAGATCTGAGACTCTCATATGGTGTAGTCCCTAATTTTTCCCAAAGAAGCTTCATGTGTTCCCCAAAAAAGTACTGAGGTACATTCATTTGTCAATAAATAGGGAAAAATGCCAATACTGTCTACAGAAAACTCATGAAATAACAAATTACCCCCTACTCATTTGCATATTTTAAGATAAGCCCACATAAAAGGTTATTCTGATATCAACTGGCATGTCAACTGCTAGTTATTTACATGAAGGTCTGGAAGAGATTGTCAGTCCAGGATCTTTGAAATTGTGCTCTGAAAAAAATTCAACAGAATAATAAGAAAGGGAACAAATTTTTTGGAAGCTTTTGCTGGTTAATATCTGAGCAAGGGAAAAAAAACTGCATTTTACGGGGATGCAACTGCACCTCCTTATGTATATATATGTGTGTGTGTGTAAAATATAAGAAATACGACAACTTTGCTCTATTCAAACAGGCAACCTCTAATAAACTTTCTGCAATTTCAGGATCTTCACCCTAAACCAGTACTTTCGAGAACATTCTGACATGTTACATAACCACTACTATAAATGCAGAGTTTGTGCCATTTTTCGTCAGACTGCTTTTTTTCTCCTATCGCTGTCAGACCTTTGCTGCCGTTCTTCCCATCTGCCTCCCTTTGCTAAAACAGTATGATGCAATAAATTTAATCTTATTTAACTTAAATTATTGGATATGTAATTTTAACAAATCTAATCTGAAAGAATAATGATCTACCATTTGCATTGAATAAAGACATGGAACTATAAATTAAAATTCTTTTGTGCCATCATTTCTGCTGTATTTCACTCCACCAAACAACGCACAGACTCGGATGTCAAAGGTTGGATTCTTCTTTGTTGTCATTCGACACTGCCTTACACTCTCAGCCACCATGACTGCAAGCTGATTACTCTTCTATGTTCCCAGAAATATTATATGTCTATATTTTTAATTATTATATTTATTTTATCATGCATTTATTTATGTGTAGTAAAAATAATGCTCATTAAAAAATAATACAAAAAAGTTTGACTTTCATTCAAGAAAATCCGATTGAAATATTTAATTTTAGATTTAAGATCATGCTGAGAGTTTACAAAGATATTTCTTATGCTAATAGATTAAGTGATAACTGTTGTTACAGAAACTGTCACGAAATGCCTCAAACAATATACAGTTAAAAGTCTTTAATCTGGACGTCCATAATCCGGACCTCAAAGCTACGAACTTTCTGCGCATGCGTCAACGCATAATGCGCATTTAATGTATATATTTAATGTATAATTTAATGCATGCGCATTTAATGTTGACACATGTGCATTAATGTGCATGCGCATTTAATGTTAATGTTTAACATGCACATTTAATGTATATATTATATAATATAATATATATATATATATATTAAATATTATATATAATATATAATATTTAATGTATAATGTAATATGACACATACGCATTTAATGTACTCCGTCTTTGACATGATTTAAATCAAATTCCTCGTCATTATAAATATCACGAATATACATCAAATAGTTTTCTGGTTGCAATTTTCTAATTTCGACTATGCGTAACATATGCTTTATGCATGCGCGCGTTGAAAGAAATGTTTAATAAAGTAAACAAATAAATATAAAGCTTTTTTTTTTTTTTTTTTTTTGTAAATTTTGATACTCTTTAGATAATAATTGCTCTTATTATTTCATAATTATTTCATAAATTACGATTTCATATTTTTAATTTTATAATTTCTGCATGCCATCTTACCAGATTTAAACTGATGATCTATAATTCGGAAAACCGATAATCTGGAATTGCCGAAGTCCTGACGAGTCCAGATTAAAGACTTTTGACTGTAATTTTTTTCAAAAGGTAGATCTTTTACCCAGAATCTTAGAGGATTAACACTTTAGAAAATAGTGATAGGCTTCAGTATTGGCTGATCAGCCAATTCATAACATTACTTTGCATAAATTAAAATTAAAAAATATTTCTAGTCCAATGAATTTTTATGACTTGTAGATTATGATCGTAAAGTATGCATGTGAATATTATTAATATATTTTTAACCTTTAAAAAACTTGTGTGACACTGATTTTGTCATACGAAATGTAACACAATTATAAGTTAAAGAATGTTATTCATTAAAAATATGTAACGTTACATATTAATAATACACAAAGGATTATCACTAAATGATACATTAAAAGGAAAAGAATCAAACTAAAACTATACTATTTTATTTTTAATTAGCTTCTCAAGAAAAGCTGATAAAAATCCCAGATTTTGAAATTAAACATCTCGGTCCCTTTCTGTTACACAGAAATAAAACTTTTTGTGTTTTATTTATTTATTTATTTATTTTTAAGAATGAGTATAAACTTCGATTAAGTATAGGGACAGGGGCAGGGTATAAAAATTTGGATTTCATAATTTTTTAAATGTAAATTTTTAAAAAAATGAATATTTACATCATTTAAAACATTTTTATAATTGGAAAAATAAATCAGCAACCAGCGTTTGTGAAAATAAAGGCAGCTAAGGACTTTTATGAGAAGCTGTATATGTTTGACAATGATTACTTCCTGAATATAAAAAATGAATATAAGACACTCAACTTACCATATTTTGTAATAGCTTGCATCAGATCTAAAAAGGTTAGTGACACCAAGAAGTTAGATAGCCAGTTAACTGAAGTTGCAATAGAATAACAGGTACTGCGAGCCCACAAAGGATAGATTTCAGAATTGATTGTCCATGGCATTGAACCCATTCCTGTAACAAATGCAAAATGTAATATACAGTATAAAAATATGATGTGGACACCACATGATTTCCTTTTACACCTACAAAAAGTATACATATTTTTTTGCTGCATTTCTGTTAAACTTAAATCCTTGAATTATTCTAACTTAATTAAACAATCTCTCAAGGCAAGTTAAAAATGACATAAAAAATTGCAGGTTTTGAAATTGAATACACCGGACAATTTTTGTCATACAGGAGGCAAATTTCTTGTATTTTTAATTTTTCATAATGAGTATGAAACATTGCCAATATAGCTCAAACTGGGAGACCACATTAAAAATTAGATTTTGTTATTCATCCAATTTTTTTTTTTTTTTTTTTTTTTTAAAATTTGAAATTGCTAAAATATGAATATGCCAAGCATTTAAAACACTTCTGTAATTGGAAGTATATGTCTAGGACCAACAATTGCGAAAAAAAAGGCTGGGTAAGGACATTTAAGCCGGGTAAGAGGGTGGGTGAGTATATGTATCTATCTATTTCGATATAAACACTTTTGATACTCCTGATTGCAATAAAAAAGAGAGATGCAGAACTAGATGTTATAGCAGTCCCATATACATAATTTCAAAGTTTTATGGCTAACTGCTTTTGAGTTATGCAAGATTACATCACAAAAAATCCATTTTAAATCCATTTTACAATCCTTTCTGGAATGAGGAGGCCTTTATTCTGTCTGTATGTAGAAAGCGCCACACAAAAAAATAGTCAAAATAGATATTTCTCTTGAAATCTGAAAACTGAAATTTTTCGTGATTACAACAATTCCTTTACCTTGTACAGTCAAAACAGAATATATTTATAATTATTAGAGAAAGAGCCTGATAAGAGATAATGGAGTAGAAAACAAAGTCTCACTAAAGAAGATGCTGTATATATAAAAAAGAAGGAATTAATAAGCTCAATGGATAGTATATTAATTATAGGAGATTTGCAATCATGCATACGCATAAACTGATCACCACACAGAAATATTATTTTCAAAGTCTATGAGTAAAAAGTAGTGTACTTTTCTAGGAGGATGCAGAAGTATGCATATCCCTAAATGTTTTGTGAATCTAGTGAATGAAAGTAAAATTTTCAAAATGCTGGAATTCCCACTTAACCAACTCTAAACATATTATAGGTATTTGTGTGATTTGTGAAGTTTTATATAGCATATATTGGCAACAAAGATGCTTAGTTATATTTAAACTCACTAGGAGGCTGTTTATCTTCCAAAAAGGAGGAACATCTTTGAGCATTCAGCATACTACTGACATCACAAAAACAGTGACATAAATAGTTATCATAGGAAGAGGACTAATGCAAAAAAACTTTCTGTACACAACTTGGAAGTTTAGGACTCTGACTGATCAGTCTTGCTGTTACAATGAAATTCCCAACTGCAATTTCATGTTTGTCTTGTGGATAATTGCGACACAGTGTACAAATTGCTATAGACGCACATAATGAGGTGTGCTAACTGTTAAGGACACAGAGTTATGATGTATCAAAGTGGACAAGTAGTATTTACTTGAACGATGAATTTAACAAAAGTGAACATAGAATAGCCTACACAACACATATACTTGGGCTAAGGAAACTATCAATTGCCTGAACTGATGTGACTTGCTTTCTCTGTGGATAACTGCAAAAATATACGGACACACATCATTGGGTGTGTAATGATAGAATATGAAATTATGATGTATTGAAGAGACATAGGTTTAAAAACTGGTTGATATCTAAGTTCCACTCTCCACAACATAGATCCTATCCATGACAATGTAATTATAATTGATTGTATATGTATTTTCATATGATTATTATTAACAATTATGTTATAGACTGTCAATCTAGCATGTAATATTACTATCATGATTCAGTGAATGCCGCTGTGGGGGATGTACATTCTTTTCCATCGCATGGACATATAACTCTGATTGGTGTAGAACCTTAGGTCGGAGGTCCATGCGACTGCGTATCAGTCTTGCTGTTACCCCTGGTGAAAGTAACCACCCCATGAATTTGTATATGTTTTGGCCCAGAAATATGACAAATTTATATAACTCTTTGGTTGCAAAAGTCCCACTAAAGATTTTAAAAACTGGTAGATCCTCCTTTTAATTTATTGAATGAAAATTCATATCTGACAATACATATAAAAACATGTAAATAAATCAAGAAGACATTAATGAAAATCTCATACCAAGCTAGAACTTATTGTGAGCTATGTAATACGAGGAGTAATACATGTTCCTGGTGAAAAAAGTTTGTTAATTTTTTTTATTTGAATTGCAAAATGATGACTTTCTTGAGTCAAACTAAGAGTACCCTGAATAGTTTTTAGAAGAAAAAAGACACTGGTAGAAAGCATATACAGAATACATATAACACATGTTGTATCATGTACACAATATAGTAGAGAAAAAATAAGCAGTATTTCTGCTGTATGATTTAATGAATCCAGGAATTACATACTAATGATGCTTGCATGATACAGCTAGACTTCATTTATTTAGTGATACTATAGTTATAATTGCATGCATCTAATATAGAGATTATATTATGGTTACATAACTATATGGTTATATAGTGACTATATTATGGAGTTAAATATATATTTTAAAATAGATTGTTTTTCAAATGAAGCCTGCAAATAAAATACTAAAGGTAGTAATATTTATTACAGTGTAAAAAAGTGATGTATAGTGTTTTAGCAATGAGTGTGTTTAATACTGATTTATTATATTTTTCATCAGTTACTTAATTAATCTGTTTTTCACATATAATCCAATGCAATACATAGACTTTTAGAGGCCTCAAGCTCTTAGAAGATTTTGGCGCCATCGCATATGCTTATACTACCAACGTTTTCCTCCTTCCTTCTCTCTCTGTGTCGTTTTTGGATTAGCCGCACCATGCATTCTATAGTAAAACTGGCAATAGGAAATTTTTTGAAGTCCATTTTCCTGAATACCTAAGGACTTTTCTGTGGTGCCCCCTTTCCTTGATACCCTAAACATGTGCTTATATTGCCCCTTAGTAGTTAATCCAATGCTGCATCCAATGTGCTGCTTACCTTTCTATTGTTGCTAAAAAAAGATGCTTAATTGTTCCTGTGAAAACTTGAATTCCATAAAATAAAATTCACTCATAAATACTCTTATTTTAATTGAGCATGATTTCAATAAATCTGATGCAGATTTATACACATTGAGCACCTAATTTTCTCCTAAATGATGAAAACAATACTGTATAAGCCTGTCCACCTATTATTAAACTAACTGGTATATTTAAATTTTAGAAAAATTTAATAAATGAGAGATTTGTAATATAACATACGTAAATAAGTGAGCTCACAGTAGTATTAATACATATATATTGTTGCCAAATAGTGTGATTTAGTGCCAGTAATGAAAAAGCAGGATATCACAGCATAATCATAAGAAGTTTGTTTTGGTTTAATGTAAATTCAATGAATTCTTGACAAGACGGTTTAAATTTTGTAAAGGAGAGTATAAGTTTTATCTTTTCTTTACATTTTGGAAAAACATATAAATATTTCGGACCGCATGGAATAAAGATTGCCAAAGTTACAGAATCCGGGCTCAAGAAAACCATGATATGCGATTTTGAAAATGAATGTAAAAAGGTAACATAACATTAAAAAATATGATTAGAAATTTAAGTTTTTATATGTTACATCTGTAATTTTTATCTCTTTATTATTTAACTAAATGAAGAACGATCTGGTCATTGAAACTTCTATTGGAAAGACTGACAACATCTCCATCAACTTTCAGGTTTGATGGGATTTCATAATTTTCGAAATACGCCAGCTTTGAAATACTTTTTTTTTTTTTTTTTTTTTCAAAATCTGATGAAATTTTAAATGTAGGCTTTTAATATGCAAGTTGGTAACAAATGAAATTACTGTTTTTATAATTAATTTTAGAGCAGAAATTTTTCTCAATGATCTCTCTTTTCTAATGTGAAATTTGTTTGTAGGCTTTTAATATGCAAGTTGGTAACAAATGAAATTACTGTTTTTATAATTAATTTTAGAGCAGAAATTTTTCTCAATGATCTCTCTTTTCTAATGTGAAATTTGTTTTTATATATTCAACTATCCAGAATTTTCATATATCTGGAATTTACAGATAGTTGAGCTTCTACTGCAATATACTTAAATGCAGTATTTCAAAATATTGTTTATGTAAGATACAAAATGGAATGAATAATTTTTCAGAAATATATTTCTAACATCAATTTCAATATTACTTTATTTTAGGTTTAAGTGGTTCCCCCCCCCCGAAATGCTTTGTCATAATTAATTAAACAATATTTTTATTGCGATAATTATATTAAGTGATCTATAGGGAGACCAGAAGATGTTATGGAAAAAAAAAAACTCCCCAATAAAACTGGGAGAATTGGCAGGTAAGTATGATATTGGATTTATCTTCAAATCATCTCCCATATAGTATTTTAGCTTAAAAAATGAAACTTTATCAGACAATTACAAGATGCATATGGATATATGGATAACCTTAAGAACAGAAACCATAATTTTATTGTCTGCCTCTCGTATGTATTATCAGAACAGGATAAACTGAAAACCTTTTGATTCTGACTTTATCACTACAGCAGCAAGTGATGGATTTTCTGGGATCTCTCAGTTCAGTTATAGCAATGAAAGTCATACCTGGAAATGCTGCTGTCAACAACTTTATATCTGAAGAAATTGTATGGTAATGATGAGATAGTAAACTCCTAAACATTCTTTATAAAAAAAATTCCCCCATTATTATTTTTGTAACAATATCAGCTATGAAACTTAGAATATAATAATGTGAGATTCTGTTTCCAGATTTTATCAGACTGTGATATATCTGTTTTGAACTGCAAATTCAGTGCATGCAAGATTTCTATAGTGTTTTAGATGAGCATTTGGGTTATTTATTATTATTTTAATGTGACATCAGACCCTCTGAAGTTTACCTTGCTTCCCACAGCAGAAAATGTTGTGCGAATCTTTAAACTGGCTCTGAGTATTGCTTACGGAATGTTTTGAAAGACTTGATTTAATTGTTAGATATTAAAAGAATAAATTGTAATTTAGCTAGTAAGAAATTTCCCTAATGTTAAAGCATTATGAGGATCACATGATAAATGTGAAGAGCAAATTCACAGTCAGTCACTAAAATTCAATTATAGTCACTTACGTCATAGATGACATTTACTCAAAATTTGTTTTGTCCCAAATTGCCAGAAGAGCTGAATTTAAAATTCAACAGGAAAGCTGAATCAGCATCATGATTTACATTTAAAACTGAAGTATAATACCTGCTCTAACTGTTGCTAAAAGCTTGAAAAATACTTTGTTCTTACATAGTTTTCCTAACATTGATTTTTTCTTTTTATCGGGAACAGAAATATCAAGCAAAGTTATTCTAAAGCTGAGTATTCTCTAAATGATTTCAATTTCAGAGTAATTTTCTTCAAACGTGGAATAAAGCAAATGTTAAACAAAGTGCCTTTCATAATTTTTCTCTATTGCAAAAAAGGTACTAATGTTAAGTCTTCATAAAAGCAAACTGGAATAAGTGACTTTTCATGAAGCAGATAATACCAATATATGATCAAAATTCTTACCTGGAGCAAAGAAAAAGAGGTACAAAAGCAAACCCATAAAAGTCATCCATGAATATGAAGAAGGACACCACTCATAGGCCCAAGTTATATCATGTGGAAGGTGTGTAGTGTTACAGTGTCCATATTTAGAAAATGCTGTATCCTCACCAGCAATCTGCAGACAAGTACTATCATAAGTGCCATTGCCCGTATCAATAAAACAATATCCACAATCAGAATCATAAATGCAACCACGGCATGAACTGTAAAAAGAAATAATTAAATTAGCTTTTGTAACAAAAAGCATTATTATGGTTAAAGAGAAAACTTAAATTATTTACTGTATATTATCATTTAATAATACAAAGAATGCATATTTCATAACAAAAACAATCTGGCAAATAGTAATAATGCTGCAACTGTACAAAAAATAACCAATGTTTCATAAAGAGTGTAATTCTCTCTTCAGAAATACAAAATTTATAGGGATTTCAAAAATTTTAAACATAAAGGGATCAACACAGTTTATCTAAAAGAAAAAATGCTACAAAAATTATGAAAATGCTATTAAAAAAGCTATACTTCTGCTCATGATGTTACTTTATACTAAAATGATATCAAGCAGCAGATTAGGTAACTGAATTACAAAATAATTTCTTTTAATGATAACATACATAATTCAAGTTTACGAATGCATAAAATGATATGATAATGTGGGTTTCAAATTTTTATCCCACTTTTGCATAATATTGTGAAGTATAAAATTATTCTAATAGAACACATTCACAAACAATAGTTTACATATTACCATAGCTAGAAGCATTAAGGATGCATACTTATATACTTATTTATATATTGCCATATTTATATATTATGTTGTAAAGTTCTGCTAATATTTGAGTGCATTTGATCATATTGTTCTTTCTGTGTATTGCTGCAATATTATGCATTGCTTTTATTTTTTTATGTTTAATTATTGCATTTTAGGTAATAATTTTAGAATGCATTTTTGTGTAAACAAAATTTCAACCTTGTAAGTACTTTGTTTTTGCATAGAATTACAGATCTTGTGATTCAAAAGCCAACAACATTTAAATTGTGAAAATAGCTTATGTAGAGCCTGTGATATGGGTAGAAACTCTCCTGAAAGGTCTTGCTGAAAACTACCTTAGCAACATTTTGGTCGCAAAATTTGAGATTTTTGGCAACTTCTCATCAATTTGACAACTTTTTTTTTGTAAGTTTTCGGAACACCCACTTTTGAAGCTTTAGGAGCGATTTTTTCTGAAGCTTTGGAAGTGATTGACGCAAATTCCATCAAAATAATGAACATAAATGACAAATTGTAAAACTAGCTGAAGTGAAATCCAAGGTAGGAATAGAAACTCTTCTGATGGATTTTGGTGGTAATTTCCTGGAAAATAATTTCTGTCATACCAAGTCGGTGGAATTTGGCAATGTTTTGCCAATTTGGTGACTTTGTGACCGAAACCTAGTTTTGAAGTGGATCTAGGAGTGATTTTTCCAGAAACTTTCAGAATGCTAGAGAACATCTGGCAAATACTGCTCTGAAAGCCAGCAATCAGTTAGTTGCTAGTTTGTTCTGAGTGATTGCAGTTCAAAGAGAGTTAGCTGCATTGCTACTTTGTGAGTGACTGGCAATCTATGATATTTCTATGTTAAGGAGGATATGATGGAATATTTGCCCAATTTTTGCATCCTTTCTTCACTTACTTTGAGCTATGTATCCTGTTTATTATTATTAATTACAATAATTTTCTGTTATTTCCTGCTCATCTGGAGTGATTATTTGCAGACATCCATGAACCTATGGTGCACAATAACTGCAATGAGCTACTATTTACAAACTTCCTAAAGCAGCTACGGAAAATAGCAATACCACCTATCAATATATTCAAAATTGTTTCAGTATCACATAATTGTAATACATAAAATAATTACTCATACAGGCTATAATGAAATCCAGATACTAACAATCCAGTTTACCAATGTTTATTTTCTAGAGCAGCGATTTCTAATCTTTTTCTCATTGTGTACCCCTTAATAAGATTAGGATGCAGCTAACCTCCTTCTTCAAGGCTTATAAATGAGAAAAGGTTGCACAATATATGATGCGTAAGAATATGAGCAATGACTGCTTGGTCTAGACTAGTTACACCCAAATATACTGCTTTTCTACATGTTTTGATTAGTAACGACCATTCTGAAAATCTTTGCAATTACTTTTTTTTTCATTCAATGACAAATTTAAACTCTCTGAACATTTTGCCCATTTTATCAGCATTTATTATAATACTTCATTACTTTCCAAAATTATTGATAATATTTTTTCTTTGTACCCTTGACTAAGCTATGAAGTACTCCTAGGGGTGCAGTTTGGGTGCTACTGTTCTAGAGAAATGACGATTTATTAGCTATAACATCAAAAATATTTTACTAGAAACAAAACAGCATATTTTGTACATGAGTATCTCTAATGGCAAAAAGTAAGAAATGAATACCTGTAATTATAACATGAAGTTCCAAGTGCTGATGAGTCGTGATATGACAGATCTGGAGCATTTAAATCTGCTAGCTGAAAGCTGATTGCCAACACAGTCAAACTTAAAATAACACCTTAAAAAAGAGGGAGAACTATATAATGATTTTTAAAATAGGTTGGCTAAATAATATATTAAATTGTTCATGTATATTAAAAAATTACATATTTTTTATTTTAGATTGATTAACTTTGAAAGTTAACAAATAAAACAGGAAGATAAATCACTATAAACTAAGCAAATAAAACTATTGATAACTTGCACAAGGGGCAGAAATTATGGAAATCTTTTGGTAAAAGTACATTTTTGAGGTTAGATGGCTCATAATCAATGGTGAATTATGAAAATTTTAACAAAGGGCTCACATTTTATCTTACAAAAATAGAATATTGAAATTTAATTAAACCTTCTACTCTTCTTACAAATACAAATAACTGTCTGTAACCCCCTCCCCCCCCAAAAAAAACTGAAAAGTTTTGCATTTAAGGAGATTTTCATTAAATATGAAAATACAGTCAAATAGGAAATATCGTTCATCCAACAGAAAGATCATTTTCAGCTTCAGCACAACTAACAGTAATAGTTTCTGTTCTGTTCTTAGTAATAGTTTCTGTCATGACTTTACTTCTTTACACATTAGGAATTTCGTTATGCAGGTTTCGTGTTAAAGCTATCTCAGTAAATTACAGAAAATTATTTATTTTTGATTCCTGCTTATAAAAACATTATGACGTGCCAGACATACTTTTTTTTTGAAAAAATAAACAATCAAACAAAAAGCTCGTGTGAGCCCCGAGTAGCTTACCACTACTTATATCACCAACTTACTGTAAAATTATACGTTAATGGAAAGACAATTGACTCAAGACTGTAAAATGAAAAGATAATTAAATCAGGATTGTAATGTAATAACGTTTATAAAGGATTTTGTATGAATATAGCAGTTATAAAGAAGAAAACTGAAGTTCTAGGGTTCTTCTTGTATAGAATCTTAAATCAATGGCTTTCAAACCCTATTAGACTGACAAACCAGTTATCGCTCTAGTCTGAAGCAAAATGATAAAACTTTAAGAATAAAATAATCTTTTTTTTTTAACTATAAATTTAACAGAATGCACTACCTGTTCTACAGGTACTTACTTACAAGTACCGCAAGTGGTACTTATCCACCACTTGTGGCTATTTAAAATAACATAAATTCAAATTCTAATTTAAGTAACATAGTCTAAGATTGCACACAAAATAGTCTTAAGCTGGCTTAAGTAATCAATAGTGCACTTTTAGCATCAACTAGTAAAATGGCTAAAGCCAGAACAAAATTTGATAGAGGTGGCGATAGGACGTGAACTATAAGTGAGGCTGCCAGAAATTTCACTTCGAGACATTCAAACCTTCGGCTTAAATACACAACACCTAATTTGGATTCTGGTGAGGAGTATTATAACGAAGTTTTAAATCACAATAATTGGTTAATTAATATAGAGGGTGACAATTATTGAACTATATGAAATAAAACCGTCAAAACATCTGAGCGGTTTGCGTAATGAAGTTCAAACATCGTGGTTGGCCGCAGGGTATGATGGGAACTAGTATGCAACATGCTATTGTCAGCCATTTTCAAGTGAAAATGTCACGGTTCAGCGTACTTGAGCTTGTGAAGGCGTATTATGCGAGCAATAACAGCGGCTCAAAGGACATTTGGAACCGAGTACAAGCTGAAGGCAACCGGTCCAAGTGTGCTAAAAATCGAGAATTTTATTCGCAAGTTTGAGAGAACTGGTAGTGTTTGTGATGACAGTGTTGGCAATATCGGTCGGCAAACAAGTGTGAAAACACATGGAAACATCGGGAAGATACGCACTGTGTTTCAAGCCAGCCCCCCTCCCAAAAAAAAAATCGTTCAGACGAGCTGCACAACAGGCAGGAATCAACCGAAAAACCCTGCGACAAATTGCTGTTGAAGGCCTGCATCTCCCATACAAAATTTAAACCCATCAGCCATGGCCATGGAACAGCGGTTGTGTTTCTCTAACACTATTGTCGAGAGAATTGACGAATAGGAATTTGATGTGAATATGGTTTGGTTCAGCAACGAAGCCCACTTTCGTTTGAATGGGTTCGCCAATAAACAAAATTGGCGCATTTGGGAGATTGAGAATCCGATTTTCGCGATCAAGAAGTCTTTCCACCCTCAACGGCTGACTGTGTGGTGTGCAGTGTCCAGTCAATGAATAATCGGTGCCATACTCGTTTGATGGCACGGTGACTACTGAGCGATTCATCTCCATTTTCCAAAGTGCCTCTAATTTCGACAAGATGTGGTTCATGCAAGATGGTGTTCGACCTCATCGGAGCAAGAGGGTGTTTGATGTCTTGGAGGAGCACCATCAAACATATAAAACAAATGCTAATTTAAATTAATTTTTCTCTCTCAGCATAATGCTTATATTTTCAAATGAAATTTAATGTAGTTGCTCTGTACAGTTTACAAATAGAACAATAATTCGGTTAATATTAGATTTTCTGTTACATCTAAATTTATCATACTTCAGGAAAGGAAATTTATAAGTATAATTCCTTATGAATATAAACACTGAAATTATTTTCAGTGCTAAGAAATTCTATGGTTATAACCTATATAACTTTGTAAAACAAATGAAGTTATTGTGAAAGAATAGAAGGGAATAGTGAAGAGTTATTGAAGAAATAAAAGGAAACAATAAAATAATGAATTTCATTCACATATTCATATTATTGAAAAGAAGATTGAATACATTATGCATTATTATCATTGTGAGGATGTGTTAATGAAACTATCCATCATGATCTAAAAATTACTTTGATTTTATTCGAAAATATACGTCCTCTAGTAAAATCATTACTCAGCATTCAAGACGTTTTCTTTTTCTGTAATTAATAGTTATTTTTATTTATTTTTTTTTTAACTTTTATAACCACTCATTTAAAAATCCCAGACTTTTTACAATTCAGGAATAGGCCTGAAAACAATAATGAGCCTAGAACTGTTGCCTCAAATCGGGACATAACCTTACTATAGCTTACATGCAACTTCAGCTGAAAAAAGGCCTCTCAACTAAACCTTAAAATTATTGTGCACATCATTCATAATTTAGGATGTGACTAATTAAAAGGGATTTTAGCATACTATGAGCTTCAATTTAATTCCATACTCTTAATTTAACTCTTAACTCATAATTTTATAAATAAATAAACTCTTAACTCATAATCCTCCCATCGATGTAAACTTACTATAAGAATATTGTTGCAAATTCTATGAGAATATTTTAATGTACACTGCTCGACATTGAAAATGCAACACCAAGAAGGAGTGGTCAGAAAGTGAAGAAATTTGGAAAAAAGACAGAGACAGCAAGCAGCAATAAGTGATCTTCATTTCAAAATGATAGTCAGAATACAGAGCGAGAACGACGTCGCCTCAGTAGGATGTAGGAACACCGCGGAGAGCTGTGCACGAAGAACACGTCTAGGCATAGAGCCAATATGTGTGCGGATGGTGTCCTGAGGGATAGCTCTCTATTTCCTTTCAACCATTTGCCACAGTTCGTCTTCTGAACGAGGCAGGGGCAGAGTCTGCAAACGGCGTCCAATTACATCCCACACATGTTCGATTGGTGACAGGTCAGGAGAGTACGGTGGCCAGGGAAGCATCTGTATACCTTGCAGAGCATGCTGGCAGATGCGAGCACTGTGTGGTTGGGCGTTATCCTGCTGAAAAATTGCATTAGGCAGCCCCTGAAAATAGGGGATTCCCACCGGCCACAGCACATTATCCAAGTATCGTTGGGACGTCATAGTGTCCTGAATACGAACTAGAGGTGACCTGGAATCGTAGGCAATAGCGCCCCAAACCATTATGCCACGGTGTCGCGCGGTGGGGCGTTCCACAGTTATTGCCGGATTAGATCTGTCTCCACGTCGACGCCACACACGTATGCGGCGACTGTCACTGGATAAACGGAAGCGTGACTCATCTGAGAACACGACGTTTCGCCATTCTGCCACCCATATCGCTCCAGTTCGGCACCATTCTAAACGTTGGTGTATATGCTGTTGGGTCAATGGCAGTCTTCTTAACGGACCCCGTGAGTGCAGGCCACGTTCAACCAACCGACGGGAAATGGTTCTGGTCGACACGGGAATATCCACGGTATCTTGCACATGCTGCAGAATCGCGTACAAGTGACTTGCGGCACCAACACAGCTTGTCGGCGGATGCGTCGGTTCACGAGTGCTGATGTCACTCTAGCTGCACCTGCACCCCTCCTTCTTCCCACATTTCCTTGTTCCAACCATGTTCGCCATAGCCGATGCACAGTGCTCGCATCCATGTGGGTATCAGCTGCGATTTGACGTAAGGACCAACCCGCCCTTCTCAGTTCGATCACCATACGCCTTGTAAAAACGTCTATCTTGCTGGAAGTGCCTTTGTTGACGGCGGCTTGGCATTCTCTTCCTATTACACGTATCCTCCGAGGACAAAAAACAGCTCTTCTTCGAATAATTCATCTGGCAGAAATAACGACAACGAATATTGCCCATTCTGCACGTTCCTTCCTTTATATCTTACTTCACGTGCGTCGGAGAGCTGCGCATTTCACATCATTCGCATAACTCAGTGACGTGCGTCTACTCTAAAATTTGCATAAATTTCTAACCACTCCTTCTTGGTGTTGCATTTTCAATGTCGAGCAGTGTATTTTGTTGTGTTATGGTAGTTATTTATTTATACTTAGTACAGTTTTAAATTGTGAAAACAGGTTAAGTGGACACAGATATACTAGCTTTTGAGGGGACATTGGCAAATTCTCATCAACTTGGCAATAATTTGAAATTTTTAGAAAACATATCTTCGAGATTCTAAAATTGTTTTCCTGCTGGACACGAATACTCTTACAAACCCAGTGATAGAAAGAAAAACTGATAACTGCTGAGCTATCCGCTTTTATGAGTTTAAAAGTAGATAATTAATGTATATGCTAGAAGCTACAACATTTCACATTCTACGCTGTAACAACTAATTTAAAGTAACCACTAACCACATTATATTCTACTCTCCTTACATAGAGCACTCATCCCTAGCTTATTACTTTGTTATCAATTCAGTCAAACTGTGCAACAACACTGGAATATGAACATCATTACCAATATCTACAAGAGTCCAGTTTGTTGATGTAAACATTTTTATTTAGACTGATAGTAAGCGCCATCTGGTTTCTCAGGCTGGCCCCGGGGCTGTGACTGGCTGCCAATAGTTAGTGCCAGGATGATCAGTATCAAATTCTGATTGTTGCTATCCCACCAACAGAAGGTCTGGTAGTGCAATTCCAACCTTTGGCCATGATACAAATATGTTATAAACAGATACTAGTTAACCTATTTAGACCATGGAGGTAGGAAGTAAGATGGAGTCGCCCTAAACAAGTTTCTCCCGTACCATGCTCTGAAGCACCGGCGATCCCTACGTGGTGACCAAAACATTGTGTCATTTACCAATTGAGTTCTATGGGATATGACGCGTTTGGATGTAAATATTTTGTAATTATGTCGTAAATATACATATAAATGTATATATTTTCTTTTTATACAACACTTCACAGTCCTAAGTATGTGAAAACAACATATTTTTAAACAACATTTCATTCTGAACGGAATTAAATGCTATACTACTTTTCACAGGACAGTTTTCTCAGAATGGTTTAATTTGAATGAAATATTTTTCACAAGTTTTCGTTAATTACATTAGAAAAAAATTAAGGTAATTCGATTTTTTTCGGTTAAGGTACAAAATTAAGATCAAAGTTTTTGTATTATTAATATTAAAATTATGCATTATTTCTTTTCTATTTATAGAGCTTCTTCTTAAAATACTTTCTTAAATATGACATCATTTTTTGGGCTTCTGAGGCAGGAAAAGGAATTAGCGAAGTACTTTAAATAGTACTTGACTTTCTCTGAACATTTCTGAAAGGGAATAAAATAAGTTTTTTTTTTTTTTTTTTTTTTTTTTTTTTTTTTAAGTATTATTTAAAATTTGTAACTGAGTTATTATAAAATGTAAGGGGAATAATTCTTTTAATTATACTTATCAGATTTTTTTTTTACCCTTCATTTCAGCAATACATATTCCAAAACTCTTTATTACGTTCTTAAGTGCGCAGCTCATAGCATTTGCTTACAATACCTTTTAAAACAGATTGCTTTCCAATACGAACAATTCTTGCTTAAATAGTTTTATAACGTATTTGTCAACAGGATTTTAATTTATGTTTACAATTCAATATTAAGTTTATTATATATTTAGATAACACATTTATAATCATTATAAATTAGATACATTTAATAATTAGATTTCTTCACAGTACTTTCACAGTGTTTATAATTAATAAATTTTTCATTTCAAATACATTTATAAATAATTTAATGAATATTTAAGTATTTTGTCAAAGGCAGATACATGCTTTTTGCAAGCACATGCATAAATACCCATACATATTTCCTATTTTTTATTTCCGGCATGTGCAAATCTTTAATTTCTGTGCATTCACTATATTTTTCGTTTAAATGTACCGTAAGGTATTTTTCATTCTTTACGCATAACATTTTTCTTAAAATCTATATTTTGTAGTGCAACAGCTTAGAATTTTATAAAACAAATTCATAATCAAAATCGCTCTTTTTAGTTATCGAAAAATAACCAAGATGTGATTTTTACGTAAATGTCAATAAACTATGCATAGTGCTATAATCCATCACACTATGAATGTTTCTTTCATGCGAAAGTGTCCCTTTTTCGATTTCTATGGAACTGTCGTGTGTCGAAATACTATCAGAATCTTTGTCAAGCGAGCTTCTGAATGTAAGCAAAGAACACCCCATCTGGTGACCCAAGCTTCAAAGCAGTGCTTCACTTTTAGCGCGGGTTGGCCTCTCCTCCCTTTCCTACCTCCATGATTTAGACTGATGTACTGTTGAGTCTTGAATAGTCAGTGATTTTTATCCTTGCTCTCTTGAAGCTAATTTTTGCTGAGCATCTTCATATGCAAAATAAAAGTTATCGCTAGAAACCGCAATAAATGTTAATTATTCAAAAGATGTTGATGAATTTGTAACACATAATACCAAACTAGAAAATAATTAAAAATAAATGCTTACCAAACAAACTTGCAAGAGTCAATTTTCTTCTTCCGACTTTCTCTACGAAGAGCAGTCCAATAAGGGAGCAAAGACAATTCATTCCTGATGTCGCTGCAGACAGCCAAATGACCTTGCTTTTGCTCCTAACACCAGACATTTCAATAATGGTTGCACTGTAGTACCTGTTAGTTAGGAAATAAAATATGCGTTTGGCACACACGTAGTTATATCAGCCCCGGAAAAAAAAAAAAAAAAAAGAAAGAGAATGAAAAATAAAGGGTAGATCAGTAAAATATTGTAAAATCCTCTTTGCTCCTTTTACAAGAACGAAAAATTCAGGGAAAAAAAAAAAAAAAAAAAAAAAAAAAAAAAAAAAAAAAAAAAAAAAAGACAAAACAGAAAGAGAATGAAAAATAAAGGGTAGATCAGTAAAATATTGTAAAATCCTCTTTCCTCCTTTTACAAGAACGAAAAATTCAGGGGAAAAAAAAAAAAAAGACAAAACAGAAAGAGAATGGAAAATAAAGGGTAGATCAGTAAAAATATTGTAAAATCCTCTTTGCTCCTTTTACAAGAACGAAAAATTCAGGGAAAAAAAAAAAAAAAAAAGACAAAACAGAAAGAGAATGAAAAATAAAGGGTAGATCAGTAAATATTGTAAAATCCTCTTTGCTCCTTTTACAAAAACGAAAAATTCAGGGGGGGAAAAAAAAAAAAAAAAAAAAAAAAAAAAGAGAATGAAAAATAAAGGGTAGATCAGTAAAATATTGTAAAATCCTCTTTGCTCCTTTTACAAGAACGAAAAATCAGAAAAAAAAAAAAAAAAAAAAAAAAAAAAAAAAGAGGAAAGATAATTTTCAATGATTATTCTCATAATTACAGATTACAGACTAAATAAGGAAATAATATCAAAATGCTTGACAAACTTGTCTTAATTATTTAGCATTAAAATTATACATGTGGTATATGGAATGTTTCAACTGAACTTTCTTTAAGAAATGGATCAGACGAGAACTTAAAGCTATTTAATTTCAAAATTGTAATTTTATATAAGAACTGAAATAACAAATTTAAAAATTAAACGGCTGACATTATTTATTCACTCGCAAATATCCACAGTGCACAGGGCCGGCGTCAGATGCAGTGCAACCGCTGCGACCCGACCCGGAGGCAGAATATAAGAACGGCAAAATCTTACAATTTACAGAAGCACCAAGTAGCAAAATTTAGAGATGAAAAACTTTTTAGAATTTAGAAGAGGCATTGGTCAGCAGAATTAAGGGGCGGGAATTTTAGAATTTAGTGAGGCACCGGACAAGAGATTTTAGGACCGGCCAGCAAAAAGCCTAGCGCCGGTCTCAATTTTTAGGTCTCAATTCATGCAAAATCGAAAAGTTAAGAAAATAACAATCGTACTTCTTAAGCCTTCAACATATAATTCTTATAAATCTATACAACGCTTAGTACGTTGATAAAGCTAGGGTTTGTGTCATTTCTAAAACTGATTTTTCGTAAATTATTTAAAATTTTTGGTTACGGTTTTCTGAATCTCTTCAAAGTTAATGACTTTGGAGGGGAGATTTCATTAAAAGAAAGAGAAAATAGTCCTCAAATGACAAATCAAATGAATACAAGGAGGCGTTGAGAACTGTGATACTTTTCTTTGCTAAAACCTCCCTGACAAGAGAGAAATGACAACACAGCCCACTGTTATGAAACAAATGACTGTTATTCGATTGAACTTATTCAAGCCTAATGCACTGAATTCTTTTCAGAAATCTCGTATTATATCTTTATAAAATATGAAGTTCACTATATTTTATAAAGATGCAATGGAAGGCTTCCTTTCGAAAATTGTTCTATGTGTTCCTCATGAGAATGTTCCACACATGTCCCACATACTCCTCCTACAGTTCCTTTTCCATATGTTCCTCCTGAAAGCATTCGTTGTGAATTTATCACTTTCCAATTAAAAAAGGTAACCAACTTGGTTTTTATGCGAGATTTATGAAAGCAAAGTTTCTGTGGCCATGGCAAACCTTTTCCAAGTAGAAGATTGTCGTTTTGTCTGAGGATCAGAAGCAAAGAATCAAGTTTCATTTTGAGGCAAAATTTTTATGAAAAAATTAGCATTAATTTCCGCTTAAATTTTATTGCCGTTTTTTACCTTAATTTTCAGAAGCATGACAGCAGATGTTCACTGAATCAAAGCAAACAATTAACTGTAAAAATTCTGCCCGGAACAGATTATACATATTTTAGGAAAAAAAGCAGTTGAAATGCTATAATTATCGTTTGGCAGGTTTGCTGCCAAATGATGTTTGTTTGCCAATTTGTTTAGAAATGCTGTTGATGCTGCCAATTTGTTTAGAAATTAAAGTTCAAGAAAATATTTATGTTTGAAATGCATCTCAACTCAATACATTCATGAGCATTCGTGTGGAATATCAGGAGATAGTGCCCCAACGTTTTTCACAGTTGCCAAGTGAGCAGCAAAAACTTCTCCTTCGATAAAATTCTGTGAAGATGACAAATGTCTCAGTTGCCCAACCACATCATTAACAGAAGAAATGGTTGCCGAAGTGAAAAACTTCTGATGTCAGATAAATGAGACTATTGAGCATGTACAAAGCCTGTGGATATTTCACTGAATCAACTTTTAAAAAAGAATCTCAAGATAAGTAAAATCTCAATTGATGGGCAGTAAGTGGGAATTTCAGTTTTGACAAAATTTCAGCAAGATTCAAGAACTGGTATACATATAGATGATTTCAGGCGAACTTTAGATGATTTTGGAGTATTTACAACAATGTTTCAGCAAGATGCAGATGAACTGTTATACAAATATGTGACTATGAATTAAATACTCTGATCTTGAAAATAAACAACACAGCATGACCAGAAAACATGCATCACTTCTCTTCTTAAGCAGAATGCTTTGTGTGTAAGCATCTTTAGCCAATGCTATGGTTACTGGTTTTCAGGCTGCCAAATTGGCTGTTGATGACTGACTACATATATCGTGGAAAAACAATCATAAGGTTCAATCATCAGTCTCTTAATGCAGGATCTTTGAATATATCTTTCAGGACAGACAGATCTAACAGTTCTGCTTATGTAGGGAATTAATTACATTATACTCCTAGTTCTACCTAAGCTAGACAGAAATATATTTTGATTTAAATTTAATAAAGTTTTCAACTCTTTTTTTTTATAAATTGCTCATGATGTATACAGCAGAACTTGAAATGAATATATATTTACATATAATTCTTACATTTAAATATGAGCACTTTATATATAAAAAGTATTTATATATCAATTTTAATGGCCTGAAAATGATGTTTTTGTTTTCTGAATATATCACGACTGAATATGCTTAAACGATAAGGTTCAACAGAAACATTTCCTTCAACAGCTCGCCATAAAAGATGGCTCATCGACAGCCCTTAGAATGTAATCGCAAATTCTCAATTTCAGAAAACTGCGTTACTTCCGATGCAGCTTTAGTTTCTGTTTATAATGGTCCTTTTCACTTCCTTGTACGAAGTAAAAAGGAAGTATTGTAATCGCGAAAAGATTCAAGCAGCATATTTCAACGAAAATATCCATTTTGACCGCTATCGAATGCAATTTAACGATGGCGTGATATCTGTACGTAAGGACAGAATAAAACACTCTTTTCCACCAGCAAAATTATAAAACTGCTTTAAAATGAATTCTGAAGAGAATTTTTCGTGGCGTCTGTACGAACGTAGTATGTACGTACGTATCTCACATAACTCAAAAACGAGTAGCCTCAGAACGTTGAAATTTTGTATATAGGACTGCTATAACATGTAGATGTGCACCTCGTATTTTGGTTGCAATCGGCCGCACCAAACGTATATAAATATATTTATATATATATCCACTCTGTTACCCGGCTCAGTGATCTCAGTTTCTTTACTCTTATATGTTTGTAAATTGTGCATTTTTTGCTTTAAAAATGATTAAATTATGTTGTTCTTATCTTCCGGTTAAGGTTTTTATGCCTTTAGTAAATCTGTATGGAATATTTTTAGAATTATCAACAATTTTAAAGTTGTTTAAGTGCCGCTAAGCCTAATAATTTTTTTGATGGCGGCCGTTGCTTGTTTACATTTGAAACAGCAGGATAGTGGATTTGTTGCCAATCTGGAGAAACTTAGCTTTGCTACAACAAAGATAACGCCTTCATTTATTATTGCGAATTAAATCATGCTTAATCCTTTCTAGAATTTTTTCGAGGAAATAAGTATTTAAGATTTACTTCGTAATTTCTAATACAGATATTTTGAGATTTCATGTATTTTTGCCTTGTCGCGAAGTGAGAACTGAATTAATTGAATGAGAAATACTCAATCGTCTGTGAAAAACTGTCTCTTTTTTGTTTTGTTTGCTTAATTTCTTTTATACATCGTTCTAGATTTATTGTAGTATTTGAATAGAACATTTGGCAATGTTTAGATAATTCTAGTCTTTAAATGATATAAAATTTGTGCATTCTGAGTTATAATATGAACGAAATATGATACTGTTAAGTGAACCTAGCGCCAGAGTGTCGCTATGCTAAAAAAATAGAGTGAATTTTAAAGAATGCATTTATTCTATTGTGGTTTATGCGTTGTCGACGAAGTAGATTTAATTCAATGAAATAAGTTTAAATGAAATGCAAGAAAAAATCCGTATAATTTAATATTCCGTACAGGGAAGTCATGTGGTGTACACATCAGATTTTTTACTTCCTTGTACGAAGTAAAAAGGAAGTATTGTAATCGCGAAAAATTTCGGGTATCATATTTACACGAAAATATCCATTTTGACCGCTATCGAATGCAGTTTAATCTATGTTTTTGCGCGACATCTGTACGTAAGGACAGAATAAAGGGCTCTTCCCCCCCAAAAAAAAATTATAAAACTGATTTAAAATGAATTCTGAAGAGATTTTTTCGTGGCGTCTGTATGTATGTATCTCGCATAACTCAAAAACGAGTAGCTTCAGAACGTTGAAATTTTGTACATAGGACTGCTATAACATGTAGATATGCACCTCCGATTTTGGTTGCAATTAGCCGCAATATATATATATCCGCTCTGTTACTCGGCTCAGTGAGCTTAATATCTTTATTCTTATATGTTTGTAAAATTGTGCCTTTTTTTTTTGGCTTTAATAATGGACTTGTTGCCAATCTAGAGAAACTAAGCTTAACAACAACAAAGTAACGTCTTCTTTTATTATTGCGAATTAAATTATGCTTAATTCCTTCTGGAATTAACATTTAAGTTAATAGCTTGTTTTGGCGTAGAAATTGTAATTTTAATTGTAAAAATTGTTTTTTAAAATTGTTTCAAATGTATTTGGTGTTTTATGTTTTTCTATAGCTTTCAAATTTTAATGAAAATATTTTGAATTTATCGTTTTAGATTTATTACAGTATTTGCATAGAACTTGTGGTAATTCTTCAGATGACATAATTTTTGTGGACTCTGAGTTATAAAAAGAACGTTAATGCTGTTAAGTAAACGTAGCGCCGAAGTGTCGCTTTGATAAATAAATATAGTGAACTTTAAAGAGTGCATTTATTCTATAGTGGTTTATGCGCTATCGACGAAGCAGATTTAATTCTAAATTCGTTAACGGTTAATTCAATATGTTTAAATGAAATGAAGGAAAATTGCGTATAATTTAATATTCCGTACAAGGAAGTCATGTGGCGTACACATCAGATTTTTTATTAAAAGCATATTCAATCACAAAGTATAAGCATTTCCAAGCATTAGTTCAATATAACTTACATAACAGTATTAATTCCAGCCAACTGTTGTATCATTTGCAGCCCGCAACCAACAAGTAAAGCTGTCCGTAGAGAAGGGTTCTTGAGAATTTTCTTCAGCATTCCCGACTTATCTGATAATAACAAAACAGACTACTTTGATATTTCATAGAAACTATATGTAAATAAAATATACTGTTGTAAAAGTGCTGAATACTATTACCGTCTGCTTGTTCTCGTTCTACCTCTAAGCAATTGTTTTTGATGGCATCAAATTCAACTTGAATGTTGACATTCGGCCCTCGGACTTTCCGCAGAGCTGTCATAGCTTCATCATATTTGTTTTTACCAATCAACCAACGAGGAGATTCAGGCATAAAAAGAAATCCAAAAAACTGAATTACAGCAGGTACAGCAGCAATTCCTAACATATACCTAAGGAAAGGAGAAGAAATTTAAATGAATCTTATGCGTGCATATTGTAACAGCTTTAAATAATATTAAAATCTTGTAGTTTAAATAATTTAAATAGATGAACATTAAGGTATTTGTGAATGGCAATATTTGAAACCAGACTCGAGTGCCACGTGCGACTTTCGCACGAAGAATGTAAATTATTTTTAAATGTTAGAATATTCTCTTCTTGTTTGTATGTCGCCACTTTTTGTGTGTTAAATAAAAGTTATTGCTGTGTTCCATCATTGGAGTTGCTTCATATCGCCAAAGAAGCATCACAGTCATAATTATTTGGGAGGCACCGACGAGATACGAACTCGTGATCTCCTACGAGTTCGTATCTCGTCGGTGCCTCCAAAATAATTATGACTGTGATGCTATGAGTCAGATCAATGTGGCTGATTCAACAGAAAAATTAAAATCTTTCACTCAACTTGTTAGCTCTGTTTGTAAGACCTCTGAGGAAAGGCTTTGTTGTGAATTATAGCCGAAGAACTGATCCAACATGGAAGAGATCTAGGCACCGTCCAAAAAAAAAAAAAAAAAAAAAAAAAAAAAAAAAAAAAACTTTCAATTTTAACTTAAATTGAAAAAAAACAAAATCTGAAATGTTTCAGATTTTAAATTACGTCCAAAGGGGCGTTTTTTAACATTTTGTGTGTTACCTTTCTTTATTAAATATCATGTTCCTCGCACTTAAACCATAAGATCCAGTGCAACAGCAATATCGCAAAATAGTTTTTAAAACGAGCATATCTTTAGAATTTCCGATACAGAGACTCACGCGCTGGAGATAAAAAATGTTTTTTCTGCACAACCGTTGCCATTTGCCATCGCTCGCTTTGAAATCCTTGAGTTTGTTAATCAAAAATTCGTCAAAAGTTTTAAAAAATAGGAAATCGATCATAAAACAAATTTCAAATTTCAAATTTCAAATTTGGTCTTCCACATGCTCATATTCGTTGGAGGATTACGTTATTCAAAATTCGATGACTCTATGTACCGTTGTTTTATCACAATACGAGAAATATACATACATTTATGCAGGCAGATTTTTCATTATTTAATTTTTTCAAATATAATGGCAGGACTCTAACATTTTGGAGGCAACAGTTTTGAAAACGTGAACCGGCATTTTATGAGTTTTCCGACGCAAAATGCCAAAACGAAACTAATAGTCCTTCGGGATTCAAATCCCTTTGGACTAAAAAAATCTGAAATGTTTCAGGTTTTAAATTACGTCCAAATGGGCGTTTTTTAACATTTTGTGTGTTACCTTTCTTTATTAAATACTAGGTGTACCCGCCCGGCGTTGCCCGTGCATTTAGAAAATGCAGATAAGTGAATAGCGCAGGAATAGTAGTGTAGGACATGTAGACTGTCTCTCTCTCTTCCCCCCCCCACAAGCTACAAAAAAGAAATGAATTGTAATTAATCGATTTAATGTATCGTCAAAACAGCAAACTAACGCTAGAATAAAGAAATCAATTGTTACAATCGAACGTTATTTGAAAACAAATAATAATATCAGTGAGTCAAAAAAACCGTGATTAATTAATTATAAATAATTTTTTTAAATTTTTCTAATTCAAAAATCGAAAATCGGGCTTCGAGGTCTGGTGGCCAGCCCCTTTGTGCTTCCGTATAAAAAATTCCAGGTCCCTGCGTGCGATAGATTTGGCTGGAGAGCTCGGTCAGACAGACAGACAGACACATTACACTTGCTTTTATTATTATAGATCATGTTCCTCGCACTTAAACCATAAGATCCAGTGCAACAGCAATATCGCAAAATAGTTTTAAAACGAGCATATCTTTAGAATTTCCGATACAGAGACTCACGCGCTGGAGATAAAAAGTTTTTTTTTCTGCACAACGTTGCCATTGCTCGCTTTGAAATCCTTGAGTTTGTTAATCAAAAATTCGTCAAAGTTTTAAAAAATAGGAAATCGATCATAAAACAAATTTCAAATTTCAAATTTGGTCTTCCACATGCCACATGCTCATATTCGTTGGAGGATTACGTTATTCAGAATTCGATGACTCTATGTACCGTTATTTTATGACAATGTGAGAAATATACATACATTTACGCAGATTTTCATTATTTAATTTCTTCAAATATAATGCAGGACTCTAACATTTTATGGCAACAGTTTGAAAAGTGAACCGACATTTATCCGTCCGACGCAAAATGCCAAAACGAAACTAATAGTCCTTCGGGATTCAAATCCCTTTGGACTAAAAACGAAGACTAATTTGAACACTGTCCATTTTCTTCCTATTTAAATGTGGTGTAAAAATATTTGTTTAAAACTTAAAAATTTTGACCTGAAGTTTGGAAATTTATCAGAGAAGTTACCTTTTCTCTTTAAGCAAATGAGCAAGCCGAGCTTATTAAACTATCGAATTTTACAGAACTTTTCCCTTCGGAAAAAGTCTCTCCGTTGGGGAAGAGGTTGTAACAGCTTTAAATAATATTAAAATCTTGTAGTTTAAATAATTTAAATAGATGAACATTAAGGTATTTGTGAATGGCAATATTTGAAACCAGATTCGAGTGCCACGTGCGACTCTCGCACGAAGAATGTAAATTATTTTTAAATGTTAGAATATGTTTTCTCTTCTTGTTTGTATGTCGCCATTTTTTGTGTGTTAAATAAAAGTTATTGCTGTGTTCCATCATTGGAGTTGCTTCATATCGCCAAAGAAGCATCACAATATTCTATGTAGTAAAACTATCGAGTGAAAATGGTCACTAACAACTCCAAACATTTAGATTTTGAATGAAAATATTTTGTGCAACTGTAGAAACAGCTATGGGCTGATACAAGGCATCACGCTCTTAGAATCAAAGATTTTGTCTGAATTCAAAACAATTATAAAAGCCTTAGTTTGCAATGTAGCTTGCCCAAGTCCATAATAAACATCAAAAGTACATAATACACAAAGCCTAAAAAACATGATGCATATTATTTGAGTTCATTTGTTGACAGAGTCTATGGATTAACAACCTGTTACATCAAATGAAAAGCTAGGGATGAAATTCAAGCGCGTGTAATACTTTATGTCTCTTCAGCTTTATTTTATTTTAAGACAGCATTTATTACTAAAAATGCATTCATAAAATTAAAGGGATGGGGCGACGTTCTGTGGAATAATGAATGAAAGGTAACTTAGAAATTAATATTTTACATCTTTTTTGTTCCTCATACGAGTCTTCTGAAGCATATTTCTATACAATATTTAAATATCTGTTACGACGTTTTTTGGACACCTCAGAATTAGGAAATCATTTCATGAGATTCATTCTTTACAAACCAACACAGCAGTGGCATTGCTAGAGGGAAGCGCAGGGGGGGGGGTCCAAACCGAGCAACACATTTTTTTTGTGAAATACATTATACAGGTTAGTCATATGGATTTTTGGAACTGAGAGACAAACTACGATTTATTGGATTATAGCGATTACAGGTAAAGTAATGATACAGGTAACCATAATAATTATACATATTACAGGTAACCATACTGATTATCAAGTCCATTATGGTTACCTGTATAAGGGGCGAGAATTCTTCACAGAGATTAAAACTTTCCGTAGAGATAAAAGATTCTTGTGGAGATTACAAATAAAGGGCTTGAAGAGTTAACTACTTTAGTTACTCAGATAGAAGCAGTTCTGAATTCCCGTCCATTATCACCACTTTCTTCCGATCCGAATGACTTACAGCCTTTAACTCCGGGACATTTTTTAACAGGAAGTGCTATGTTATCCTTTTTGAAACACATACTGCTTCGGATTCTCTTTCTTTTCATTCCAGGTGGGAACTAGTTCAAAGACTCCAAGCCAAATTCTGGAAAAGGTGGCCTTCCGAGTATCTAAATCAACTACAGAATCGTGCCAAATGGAGCAGTTCGCAGCCAAACATGCAGATTGGTCAACTAGTACTGCTGAAGGACTCCAACCCCGATCCTTTCCATTGGCCTCTAGGTCGAATCCAACAAGTGTATCCTGGTGCTGACCGTCTGGTCAGAGTAGTTGAAGTTAAAACCTCTACAGGTGTTGTTCGGCGAGCCATCAACAAAATTATTCCTCTACCATTTAAAGACTGAATGAACTTGAAAAACTTTTATTTTATATTTAATAGTTTACCAATTTAATATTTAGTTTAGTGTAATTTTAGTGACTTTAAATTTATTTGAATATCTGGATATTGAAATGTAAACTCCATGGGAGTTTAAGCGGGGAGTAATGCGCATCAGTGGTTTTGAGGTTCAGTGGTAATCCAAGTTTGTCGAAAGTGTGGTGGTTCAGCAAAACATAATATCATATCTATAAATAAAATTCAATAATCACCAATCAATACAATATAAATGGATTTAATTAAATATAAGAATATCTCAAAATCTCACAAACTGCGTCACACCTTCCATCGAACAACTGCATCGAATCTCAGTCTCAATGGCGCTCTCAGCGCCCTCTAGCGTTAGGCGGGTCTTACCAGGGCTCAAAAAGTGGAAACTCACGATGTATTCATGTCTGAATACACCAATGCATACCCTACGTTACACCTAAGTTAAACCAAAAACGGTTAGCCAACCCGCTGTTTGATATATGACTCACCAAAACCGAATTATCACTATTCAACCGTCTTATCCCCTAGGTCAGAGGTGACGGTGAAGATTCACAAGATGCCGAATTGTGATACAGGAACTGAATTGAGGAGAGGATTGTTTTTATACACTGAACCAAGAGTATTCACAGAAATTACAAAGAGACTTCTAGAGCTTTACTTTCTTGTTATGACTGTCTTACTCCATCTAAACCTTTGAACAGAAAATAGGAATGACAATTAAACTAATGACACAAATAAGGAAGACCTTATTAATTTAGAACTCAAACAACAAAAATCAGCGTTATATTTTCAAATTTTCACAGGACTAGTTTCGATGGTTATACCGAAACATCATCCTCAACTACAAAGCGCAAATGCAAGACCTTCTCACGATGAAGACCTTAACATGAACAGAAAAATACTTCAGAGATTTATTTATGTTACCGCTTTGGAAGAAGTAACTGAAAGGCAGAAGGGTAGTCGATTTGAACAATTTATTTTAAAATACAATCTCCAAAACAAAATCCAAACAAAATATTGTTCCAAACAAAAATATTATAATTATAATACATAAATATATCTCCAAACAAAAATATTGTACTTCATCCCAAAATTTTACCCACACTTGTTGTAAATATTACTTGTTGCAAGAAGTTTTTCCGGTGTTTTTAATAATACGGTACTATCTACAGAAGAACAACTGGAGTAAAGAAGTAAAATTCTAAAACGTCATCGACGATTTTGCTAAAAGAAAATTAAGCAATAGCACTTTAAAATGTTGGATGAAAAATTAACGCAAATCTTCTATTTATTTCATTGTAAGGATTACGTTAATTTTATTAAAAATTAAATTTTGAGTTAAACTTCCTTTCTTATCGATTCTTAACTTCAATTTACCACTTCCGGCCAGAACGTAGTTTTAGAATCACATCTGAATACATAATGAGGAAGAGCGGTATTTAACCACGAAATTCTTCGGTCTTAGTGAGAGAGATACCAGATATTCTGGATAGCATGCGTCTGCCCTTTTTAGGCTTCTCTCTAGTAAGCTGTTATTACACTCGGCCGTACTTTAGGCCCTTGATAGCTTCGCAGTCTATTAACGTTAAGGGGCCAACTCTGTTAGAATCTTGATAGCTTCGGCTATATCTCTTTAGTTAAGATTAGTTTAGTTTAATTCTTAGTTTCTTAAGTTCAAGCCCGAGTGTCGGCTTTATTGTACACTCCAAGACGGAGTTTTGTTAAACTTTAGTTGGAATAATAAAGGGTTATTTTACTCTTCTATCTTGTTGTTTCCTGTCACACGAACTTAAGCGATTATTCGCTTATCAGTTCTTAAGATTATTCACTTCCAACAGTAACTTAGAATTACACAGTGAGGAATCCTACATCCTTATGACAATGCATTCCCCCCCGAAGGGGAAAATTTTTTTTTGTCTTACTTTTTCTTGCCAAATGGCCTTTTTGCCATGCTTTCGTTCCTGGAGTGCTAGATTTTGGTAGGATATACCTTAGTTTTTCTTCGTTAGTTATTATAAAATAACAACAGTCTTTAACAGCCAATCAAACTAAAGTAAAAGCCTATAAGTTGCTTAGAATTTAAGCATATGTTTCCTTTCTTTTTTACAAAATCCTGAAATAAGTTTCCTTAAAGCATTACATTTGATGTCCATAGTAATTACGAATTTTCAGCAAAATCAGGGATGTCAAAGTTTTATGCTTCTCTTTTTTTCTCTCTCCCCAAATTTACTGCTAAAGAAAGCGAATACGTTTCTGCTAAAATAAAATACACAACAAATAACAATAATTTACTTACACTCGCTGCATAATATTACATTTTGTTCTTAATTAAAAATAATCAGTTTAATACCGAATGTAAAGAGTCATAATAATGGCAATTAAAAATAGAGTTATCACACTCATATACACCATACTAATGCTTGTTTTTATTTGTGTTTAATGATTACTTTTCAGGAAAATAATTTTATATAATACTTTAACATGTTCCATCTACATTTAAAAAGTTGAGAGACAGACACATAATCTATGCATTTTGAAAGAACACATATTTGTGTTTTAGGACGAAAACAATCATGATGGGATCCATATATTCCATGTAATAAGATTAAAAACATATAATGGACACATAATCTATGCATTTTGAAAGAACACATATTTTTGTTTTTTAGGACGAAAACAATCATGATGGGATCCATATATTCCATGTAATAAGATTAAAAACATATAATGGAATACAACAGAATCAGTATAATATAATAAAATAAAAAATCGATTAATTAGTTTCATAATAAATTCTAGCATTTCATAACCAGCTAACAGCAGGTGAAAGGTACTTTCTCCGTCCTTTCCGTATGTCTTCGCGGTGTAACTGGAAGTATGTTCGATCCGAATTAGGCAGGTCGGGAGAATCTTTCTTAAATTAAAAAAAAAAAAAAAAAAAAAAAAAAAAAAAAAAGACTTCACAGTAATGCCCGAATAAAAAAGGTGGTGTATGATAATTCATCTCCACGTGGATTTGGCGATTCGGTTCCCCCATTCCCAATCAGGAAGTACTCTCGAAGCGTATTATTCGGGAGGTCTGCAATCTCGGCATGATTTGCATTGAACATTTTTCACATTCCTGCATCAATATAACCTAATGACTTGACAAAGCTTCTTCAGTCCTGATGAAATACATCTATATACTCAGTAACACAAAATACAGATAAAATAAAGCCTTTTTAAAATTTTTTTCCAATTAATTTTAATTAATTTCCCCGAATACACACACAAAGATTTTGATTAAGTGTTACAAATGAAAATAAATTATTCGCTAGTAACATCAGCTTTAATTCTTACATAATCTTTAAACATATTCCGATTAGAAAATTAACAAAATTATATACAAAATGCCAGATAAGGCACGGAAAGTCCCCCCCGAATAGAATAAAACTTAAAAATAGTTATAATATATATGCGCATTTCTATATAGGTATATATGTAATAATAAAATTCCATAGTCAAGAATATACTTGGAAAGTCAAGAATCCATAGTCAAGAATATACTTCTAAATTTCTAACTGCATGTTCTTTTCATTTTTTTATTGGCGACGGTCTTAAATCCACAGCCCCGTAGTAGTTTTTTCCGCTTTTTCTACACGTACAGTTATAGAATGTTCTGGAAATATTTAAAGCGAACTGGATTGGCTGACGCCATTTCTTGGAAGCTCCGCCTTTCCAGAGGCTATAAAAGGACTCTCAAAGGAATATCGGGGACTTTTCTTTAATGTAATGATGCAGTAAACTTCATACAAAAAATTATAAGTAGTTTTTTTTTATTTACTCCGGATATCTGATTTTGTTACTGCTATTTCTCCTGACCAATAATAAATGGATCCTGTTTTTTAAATTTATCGTCTGATAATTTAAGCTACGACTCACACACACACACACATATATATAAAGAGTGAACAGACATCCTCATTTTCTCACTAAATTAACGTTCTCCAAAATCAAATCATTAAAAGTTACTTACCTCCACCCATTTTCAAGATCGGTGCTGAATATTCCATCTACAATACTAGCTACCAACTGGCCAAAAGTGATAGCGCAATTATTGATAGTCACTAAGGTTCCACGAATACTTACAGGTGCAACTTCGGCTATATACATAGGGACACACATGGATGCCAAACCTGCAGAGAAAAGAAAAATCTATAAATAAAATTACAAGCTAGAATAATAAAAACAACACTATCTGTATACAATACTGCATCGATCGATCATCTTCACATATTAATTAATACTTAGCGCTAGTCTGTTTAGAAAGAATAATTGAGGTTGCTTCGATTCCCGTTGACGCCGAAGTTAAGTGTCCCCTTCTATAGTGACTAGCTAAGGATAAAAATCTGATATCGTGTTCGAGAGGATTTGCTACTTATTAATTTCAAAGGTAAGTGGCCTAAACTGCGTTATTTGTAAACAATTCAGAAGTGAACAAATAAATTTTGCTGAATTTCAAACTCTATGCTCGTTTAAGTTGATTATGGTCACAGCGATCACTCGCCGATAATTAGGAAATTACTTTGAGTGAGGCACCGTTAGGTGAATACACTTTTAAACAGTTTAAGTACCAGGATTACACCTTGACATGATCTCCAATGTGACCTTGAAATTAGAACATTATGATAGGGAATGTAACTTGTGTTCAGGAACGCTTACTCTGAAGCGAAAACGGAGATGAAGCATTTTGGTATCAAAACATTCAGGAAAGCTGACTGGAATCGATTTTCCAAACAGCAATTCATCTCTTAATGCAACTTGATAAATCCACTGTCAGATCTGTAAAATCCCAGCGAAGCGACTGACCGCTGATTCCATGAGACATGCAGCAACGTGGATGTGAACAGTCCTAACAATTCAACAAGTAAGAAAAGTTAGAACTGCATTAGAGATAGACAGAAATTTATTTAAGGTCAGAAAGACTGGAATCAATATAATTTAATTATTCTACATTGAAATATATTTTTGGGTAAAACTGGCGCAAAACGCAAGTCGATAATGCTAATCAATTCTGTATACTGTTACTTTTTTTTTTTTTTTTTTTTTACACCAGTTGCTACGTTATTTTCTTCCTTCACGTTCGTTACGTACGGAGTAGTAGTGAATTTGTAGTGAATAACGACGACACACTTGATGGAATGCCGAAACACACTTTTTATTTACCAATATTAATCAGGATAGCTCCAAAACACTTTTACAGTCGTCGAAGATCTACTATAAACACGCTAGAACAATCAGCGACACAGCCTTCACACTGTCAGGCAATAACGGTGGAGACAGCTTCACTGCAAATCACCAGAGTACAGTTCCCGACTCTGCTGCTCGGTCGTTCTCGGAACTTCACGTACTCTCGAGACTCTCCCCGCTACAACTCGCTATGCACTTGATGACACACAAAGCACAGCTCCCGACTATGCGGTTCAGTCGTTCCCGGAGTTTAACACGCTCTCTCGACGATGCACTAACCGCGATACATTAAGAGACTCTTCGATGTACTCGACGACCCACTCGGCACTCGCTGCCCGGCTGTCAACTCGATCGATTCTGCACGGACTGACTAACTCGAGACTAATTATCTCGAACTCACTCTCCGCGTACCAGCAGGGTTTATATAATTTTTGGCTTATGTTCGAGAATATTCTGAGGTAAACCGGTAAGAAATCGTTCCAGAAAGTTCTCCATCCGTCCATGGCATACAGCCAATTTTGTAGCCAAATGAGCGATTTCTCGCCAAATGTGGCAACCCTGCCTTCTTTTGCCACTTTATGGCAACCCTAAACCTGCTTTGCGAGGAAGCTATCTCACCGCGCCTGTACATGTCGTAACAATATGCATTACACAGAAGAAGCGGTTACCTTTTTAAATATAATTTTGGACTTAAATAGTAGCAGTAGCAATAAATTCAGCAGCAGCGCTCAAAGTCTGTTTTTGTTCATGACACATTTTGTAGATATTATTGCATTTTTTTTTTAAACTGAAACCAATACAGGGCAAAATTTAGTTCATAGAAATGAGTTTTATTTATTTATTTTTTGAAATGATAAAAAACATCGAAGCAACATTTTATTGGAGGCCACCAGCGACCAAGTGAAAACCGATGAACACTGGTAATTCGAACTAGGTTTATATCCCGTCAAATGGGTTAGCAGCTTAAGAGGACTTAATAGTAGCAGTAGCAATAATTCAGCAGCAGCGCTCAAAGTCTGTTTTTGTTCATGACACATTTTGTAGATATTATTGCATTTTTTTTTTAAACTGAAACCAATACAGGGCAAAATTTAGTTCATAGAAATGAGTTTTATTTATTTATTTTTTGAAATGATAAAAAACATCGAAGCAACATTTTATTGGAGGCCACCAGCGACCAAGTGAAAACCGATGAACACTGGTAATTCGAACTAGGTTTATATCCCGTCAAATGGGTTAGCAGCTTAAGAGGTTTCGTGGTTTATCTCATGCTTAACATGAAAATTAACCCTTTGAAAATCCTCCTCCACGAAAACATCCCCTCCCCTTTAGGCAGATGATCCTAGTGTGTTCTGCCATTAGCCAATTTTTTTTAGGCTCATTCATCTTCATATTATTTAAAAAAAAAAACAAATAGGTGATGTAATAAATGGAAGTACGTATTAACGCGAATATAAAATTATGCGTACTAAACCATAAACTGGGTTAATATATAACAATGTTCAAGGTATGAATATAACAATAGTACCTCTAGTTAAAGAGGGAAAAGTATACTCTCCGCTATTTTTTCGGACTTATCGTTTATAAGGCATTTCTGTCTTCTTAACATGCCTTCGTGTGTAGTGGTCAGCACACTCGGCGCGTATTCCAGTCCTGGCGAGGACATTACTAATTTTTCGCTTCTACTGCTTCAAAAATACGAACTAAAAAATGGTGGATGATGGTTCACCACCACCAGGATTTGGCGATTAGGTCTCCTAATCCCCAGTCGCCCTTTAAAAGGGAGTGTATATAAGGTATTTCTCCCGCCGCCTTAGCATGCCTTCGTTGTTTAGTAGTCAGCACAGCACACTCGGCGCGTATTCGAGAGGTCCGTGGTTCGAGTCACAGCGAGAGCATTGCTCATTTTTCTCCGGGATTCGAACCGGGGCGCTTAGACACCGCAGTGCGCTTCCCTAACCACGATACCGTCTGGGCAGTTCCAGAAGTTTCTTCCTTCTTCGGTTTCATTTGAGATGACGTACCGATTTTAACTGAATATTATCAGAAAAAGACCAAACAGATAGAACGACCATATTTTCTTCATTTATTTTATACCTTCATTCATGCCTAGTGGCATATAGTATTATTTATATAGATGGGCCACTTAACAGATCCAAAAAAGTTAAAAAGACCAATACTTTGGTTATTTATTAAATTTTTTATTTGGAGCAAAAAGGGATATCCACGGGAACTAATCCAAATACATAAAATGACCAATGTTTTTTTACTTCGTTTTTACGAGGCAAAGAGTATTTAAATGCGTCAATTATACCACAAAAAATCCAAATAATGACGAAGTTTTATCTTCATTTGGGATGTGTACCAAAACAAATTCTAAACAAGTAAAGCAAAGAGGATTATCTTCGTTTATCAGAATTCCTGTTTAACTGAAACACACACAGAACAATTTCAGTGGATTCTATTATTAATTAACGTTTTGGAATTATAATTTAGATAAGACTAAAAATCTTCTTTCAGGTTAAAAGGACGTAACTTTTACAGACACATAAAACAAAATTTGTTATCGAATTTCTACCATTATAATTTAAGTAAAAAAACTTCTTTAATAATATCCCGCATAAAGTATATATGTTTAATGTAAATAAATGTTTTAAAGAAATAATGCAAGTGAAAACCAAAATTTTAGCATTTCTGAGTTAAAAAGATTAGAGAATTCTAAAATAGTTTTTTAATACGGAACTCTTGAGAATTTCTTCAACTGCAAGAATAAATCTCCAACCTTAAAAACTGATGCAACAGACTAAAAACTTTTATCCTTATATCGTTTTCATAAGTAGGGTTCGGAGCCGACGCCAGATGACGCTGGCTTTTGCATCTTCAGCGTTCTTCCAACTACCTCGAGTGGGATTTGATGCCTTTTAAATCCCGCTCTCAAGTTTGAGCCGAGAATCCGGTTCTTCAAAACCATTTTCCCTTTTAAAATGTATATCCTCAAGAGTATAGAACCTTCGCTTAGAAAGCTATAAATTTTAACGCTACATTTTATTTTATTTCATTCACAATAGTTCTCCGTTATAAAATTGCACGCTATACCAGGGATTTCAGATATTACGCGTTACTTATAAATCACATGTAAATAACGCGCCTTAAGTCAAATTATCGTGAAAGCAATTTTCCAATCTAATGACAGCATTACCACTGCTAGTACATTAGCACTGGATCTTGCGCTTTTTTAAAGTTTTTAATGTTGTTTACGTTTGCCATTAGATCTGGCTACTTTCAAGTAAAAATGACATGAATTTAACGAAAAAATTTATATCTGACTTTGAGCATGGGAGAAGAAGGTGTTTCAGACGCAAATCAATTTTAACTGCATTTCAAGATCCTTAAATTGAGGTACATTTTATCTTCTTAACGTTTGCTCTACAGAAAATAGTAAACCTAAATTTACATTATTTCTTTTAGTTGAACATCACTTCCAATTTTCAGTTTCATCGGAAGGAAATAAAATGAGAATAATCATGAAAAGTTTTATAAAAACTTAACATGTTACAAATAACATCAATTAAACAGTTAAACCCATCTGAGAATGATCAATTTTCAGAAAAAGAAAATTTAAATCTACGGCCAAGAGTAGAAGATATATTTTTAAATGAGTTAAGATGAAAACGAAGTTTCAGATAGAGACAAAGAAGATACTTTAAGAAGTTCTTCCGCTTCTATATTTTTATTTCGTATCTAAATTTCCAAACGCATGAATTTGAGAAAAGTTTAATGATGCTAAATTTTGAAATATAAAAAATAAGATTCCTTTTTACATTTGCTTTTAATATTACACAGCTTACTGCAGACAATAATTACGAAGATCCTGACAGAAAATGGCAAATAATGAGAAAAATACTGAAAAAGTTTTATGGTCATCTTGAAATAAAGTTTTA